AAAAAAAAAAAAAGAAAAAAAAACAAGAAACGCTAAAGTTACGCTGTTTTCATTATCGCCGACTAGTTGTATATGTTAATTATAGATTATATATGTATATGTATATCTCGTCCGGTTCAGGCATCCTGCCGGGAAACCTAAGACTTCATACTTTAAAGATAAGCTTCAATGATTTTTCTACAAGATCAGAGATTAATTAAACGACTTATATACTTTCGTACAATTATTGCGTACAGATTTAATCACCAGAAGATCCTTCGACTGTCCTTTCCGTGTCCTCAAGTGTCAAACTGCTTAACCTTCCAATGATTCATACAATGGTACATCGTAAAAGACTTTCCGTATACGACAAGCAGCCTTTGTTGTCGGCTGCAGCGGTGCTTTTTCGACTTACATCAGTCAGCGTTTAAGTGAAACAAGTCAAGGTAAGGTAACCTAATTCCGTTAATATGATTATTAAGAGTCGGGTGAAATACGTGGAGAGATCATAATAGTTGTATACAATCCAATGAGATTGTCACTCTTTTCACTGGAATTCATTGGAAACATTTGAATTTTGTATGCGTACAATGGTTTGAGAATAATACAAAAGAACATGAATCAAAATCACCGATTAAGAGCAAAAACGTAGATTTTCGAAGAACTCGTTAAACTTATCGATCGCTCGAACGATGAAGACAGATAAACAAGTTGAGAACAATTAGACATTTTAAAAAAAAAAAGACGTTAAAAAACTACAATTTCACATAAAAGTTTTTTTAGGAAATTGATCGGTGTACGAATACGTTCTACACCCACTGTAGGTATCAAATTAACGCGATTCGACTCGAACGTTATTTTACACGCTTTCGACGCTAGAACTTCGTAGACATCGATGATTCAGACATCCATTTGAAAAATATGCGCGTATTAATAAATCATAGACTTCTTCTATTGTCATGCATTTTTCATGATGTGTTCCAATGGTAAACAATACAAACATTATTTCTGTTCCGACAGTTTGTTGTAACTTGCTATAGGTAATATAAAGATAACACGTTAAGAGGCAGCAAATTGTCAAACATGCAGTACTTGTAACATTTATTACCTGTCGATGGATAGTTATTGTTTTTTCGCGAAGGACACACACACACACACCATCGATCTTTAAATTCAGTCGATGGCTCGAGCGAAGGTGTGTCTTTTTCGTGTCGTCCTCAGAGTAATTTTCTTCGATATACAAAAGTATAACTTAAAATTCTAAGACGATCCTGTGGTTTGTTCTTTGGTCATACATTTTCCTAATACATCAAATCAATGCTATTCTCTTATTTATTTCGTAATATATGATAATAGATTTTCTTCGAGCGCTAACTCAAATTATCCATTTCTTAAGGAAGTAAGTCTCCCGAGAAAACCTCAAGTTTATTTTTCCTCGTAATACAACATGCGTGAGGCCAACTTTGCTTAGCTCATCAACAAGTTGTACTGAAGGAAACCAGTTCTTTCCGGTAATAATTGGTATTCAAAATCGGGCTAATTAAAGATAAAACTGATAAAGTAGGTATAAAGAGTTTGTCTTTGTTGCCAGTGAAAGCATTCATTAAATACTGGAGTTTTAGGGATGCTGACCATTATTCGGGTCTTATTTTTGCCATAAAAATAATCGAAGCCCTAATACTTTCCATCTCGTCATTTTCAAAATCAATTTCTAATTTGTTGTGATCGTTATACCCACTATGGGCATCATCATGATCGCTGTTCGAATATGTCGATATCAGAAACATTTGGTTCTCGAGTTTCTTCAAAGTCGAGAGTATTCATGAATTCCTTCCAGTTCGAACAGTCGCGTCTCTTTCACTGATCAGACACGGCTAAAAAATTACTTATGCGCCTATCCAATCACTGGGTGTGTTTTGAAATAGTCTATACAAATAATACTTTCCAAACTTTTTGGGATGCGCTACCCTTAAAAATAAAGAGAGAATCTGCACTAAACATTCATAAACAGAATCATTCTCTTCAATTTAAATCAATAGAACATCTTCTACATACTGTTAATAGAAAAAAATGTTTAAATTCACATTTTTGTCTACATACCAAATTTTCTTTGGGACTCTTGGATTTCAAGCTATCCCCCACAAAGAAGTCATGTTCTTTACTTTGAAAAACATTGATTTCAGCTACCTAGAATGAGGGGCGTACACTTCGATCGAAAGTTTTTTTTCTCTTGGGTCAAATATAACACGGTGATAGCAGTTAAAGGTTACACGTAAAATACAAATCGCTGGACGAAAGATCCGAAGCGTAGAATAAGGTAGGTATTATATCAATACGAAAAGTTTCCATCACGCATCGTACGAAGAGCTCGATCATATTGAAGTGCCTGGATACGATCTCATCCCAATTGATCAAATCCGCGAAGGCACCTTGCGCACAATTTTCAAGATTTTTGCGACTTTTTCGCATGGTTGATATAGACCTACGACAATTTTATACAAATTTACGTAGCAGTATGAACCTAGTTACATTTATATTTCCGTGCATTCGCATTCGAAACTGTCCGGATGCATGTTGAATATTTAAATACTAAATTTCGACGAGAATTAATATACAATTAAATTGCATCATTCGCAAACATGCAATTATATTCCATTATATGCGAGCATGGAATTACATGTTACATGTATTATATCGAACACGCTTAGCGTGAACAGAACAGTTAGCTTCTGGGCACGTAACGATCGAGGATAAAGAATTAAGTATGACGTTAAGAAGCGGAGGAAACATTACCATTTGATTATAATTTCCTCGACTTTTTACATTACAAACGAAAACGCCGATTGTTACGTCAACCACGTTCGGTGGTAACAAATGGTTACAGATAGAAAGCACGATAGACGAAGGAAAAATCAAAAAATTCCATTACAAGCATTATCGTATTTCTCACACTTGTAAAAAAGGTTCACCTTTAACGTCAAACATAATTCGCGAGGCCATCGATTAAGATAAGATTTGTTTATCGCTCGTTTAGTATTCATCCAAGAATTGAATCGTCCAAAAATACATTTCCATAGAAATATGTACGGGCTGTTGGATATATGTATTCCGATGCTTAATAATCGCTCAGAGACAAAAGCTTACGATAACTTCAAAGCACTATTTCTCAGATATAACGGAAACAACGTTCAACGAAATTATGTATTTGTTTTCTTTGAAAACGTACACGTGGAACAAGTTAAAATATTTATCTGTCGAATTAGGTTGTTTTCAATACCAGGTTGCTATCTCGCGCGTGTTGTTCATATCCTTACTAAGAAGTTAAACTCAGCCATTGGAATAAGTATGTTGTATCGTAAGGGAAACTTTTTCCAAGCAAAATATGGTCGTAACACGTTTGAATTTAAATTGACAAATATATAAAAATGTATCGTGAATTATTGAATTTATATTATTTATAATTGGAATGATTGAAAACACCTGTATAATGAACATTATAATATTACAGTAATTGTTTAAGTATTCTTTAAGATCGCCAAATAATTTATAACGTGTTTTCACATTCGGAAAGTGTATATCTACACGTCTAACTTTCTAGCCATGTTCTTGGCAAACCAGTGCAGGACAAAGTTGTACAGGTCAACTTAAAAACATGATTCTCGTCAATGGTGTCTCACGAAACGTCGACGTTTCTTGCATCAGCCAAGGACTCGGTCTCTTTTAATGTTGTAAATGTCACAAACAGGTGTGGGACCGGTAGATGACGCAAAATATCCTCTTGATTACCCTCATTTGTTTTTATTAAAATTTGTGTCTGCCATTGAAAATATAGTACGTGTTAGAATCTTTCTTTACATAAATACATATATCCCCAATCACAGAAATGTGTGGTATGCACGATAATAACTGTTTAAATTTGCAAATATTCTGTTTATAATGATCTTTATATTAGCATACTTAACTCGTTATTTCAAAATTTGTTAATATTTGATTGTACCAACGATAGTGAAAATAACCACCCAGTATATGTATACTACACCTTCTATCTGTAAATTTCTGTTTTGAAAAGACCAGTGAACAATTGTTTAAAATTTCATCAAAATTGACGTTTCGCGACGTTCCTTTGTTATTGAAACTATCCAAAATTCAAATTCGTTTATAAATAATATTTTATTAATAGTATCATAGTGCTATACCTCGCGAATCTATGATCAACTTTTCTGTTGAATTTCTTTTAATTGACATCTGTTTCGAACTTCACGGAAGTTACGCTTATCATACCCGTTAATTGTATCAATTTTTTTTTCCTTATAAATAAGCATGTACCTGAAAGTGCAATAGCTTCTAGGCATTGCATCAAGTACGAGAATTCCACTTCTGTCTTTCACGATTCAAAGTGAATAAAAAATGTTAATTGCCGATAAATTTATTCGTATACCTGTATCAGTCATTCATTACTGGATACCTTGATAGAGAATAATAGATGTACGCTCACGCATCTGTATTGCCGTTTCTTCTGTAAAGTAAAACGTTTAGAACATATTGCTTATAGAACACTGGGATTAACAGCTCTGCTAACAAAATTTATTTTATTCTTTCGTTAACAATAGAATATCATGTTTCGAAACAATATACACGATTACATTGTTTTTGTATATCTACATTGTTCTGTAAAAATAAATTTTAATACTCCATGTATACTATGAAAATATTAAAGTTGTCTTGATGTATAAACTGTATAAAAATGCTTTAATAAATACACATGTATATATATAACTTTCTTGCATTGAAATTCGTTGCAGGAAGTCCGAATAGTCGTTGGAACAACCGCAATACATATAAGTATATAGAAAAATATAGTACTTTTAAACATTACAATCACCACTCACGCTGTTATTATAAATGTATAAAAATTTTAATCATCTACTTTTAAGTTTTTTACTGCTGTGTGACCTTCGATTGTTTAGTTTTATATTTTCTCTATTGCTTATGGAACTTTTTGTTTGGATCAGACGCCATATCGGCTAGCATTTGACATGGTTTAAAAGCATCGCCGTAATGACTTCGGAATTCTTCCATTTTATTCACTAATTTACCAGCTCCGTAATAATCTACCCAACGGAAAGGCCCACCAGTAAATGGAGGAAAACCTAATCCAAAAACGGCTCCTATATCACCCTCCAACTGCAAACATATTCATTGTCATTTAATTTGATACCTAAAGAGAAATATAACATGCATACTAATAAATTGATTTTACTTACGGGATTTGCCAATATATTTTCTTCTAAACAAAGCACCGCCTCGTTAACGAATCGAGATATCATTCTTAACTGGCGATCTTGATCTGATGTACTTCCTTTCGGCTCGAGTTTGTATTTCTTTAAAATATCTAATGCTCCAAGATTAACATCTCTGTTCTTGGTATCAGCTTCGTATACAAATATACCTTTCCCAGATTTTCGGCCTAGAAATCGTATGTACATCGTTAAATATATGTACGCTACATGAATTAAATTTTGACAGAATCGATAAAAAAAAAAGTACCAAGGAAACCAGCTCTGACCATATCACTGAGTATATTTACATCTCCACCTCTAAAACGTTCACCTAAAACTTGTAAAAGATGAGCACTTATATGAGCACCAACGTCAATGCCAACTTCATCGGATAAAGTTGCTGCTCCGACAGGAAATCCGAATTTCTTGACCATGTTGTCAAGATCCACTGGATCCACGCCTTCCTATTACCATATGTAACATTATGCTGTATCCTGACATTAATTCAACACGAAGGGGAATAAAAGTGTTAAACCTGCATCAATCTAATGGCTTCCGACAACATAGCGGACAAGATCCGTGTGGTATAAAATCCAGGACCGTCTCCAACGGTAATAACTGTCTTACCCTGTTTTAAACCAACATCAACGGCAGTCTTAATAGTTTCAGGCGATGTTCCTTTGTGCGTTATTATTTCCAATAGTTGCATTTTATCTACTGGAGAGAAATAATGCATTCCAATCACCTATAAATCAAGATTTTATTACACTAAACTTGCAAGCATAAACTTTTCATATTTACCTTATCTGGACGACTACTTCCAGCAGCTATTTTTGTAATAGGAATTGCCGACGTATTCGATGCTATCACACAATACTCCGGTGTATTGGCTTCGATTTCCTTTATGACTTTGTGTTTAATTGCGATATCTTCAAATACAGCTTCAATTACTACATCCGCATTTTTAAAGGAACTATAGTCTAAGGTAGCATCAAGCTGGGCATAGTATTTATCTTTTTGAACACTAGGAATAATCGTGAAAAATTATTTGCACACACAATATAGAAAATTATGTACAGCATGTGTTTCTTTTAATATAACTTACAGGGAATACTTTTTCCTCTTTACAGCATTATCCAATCCTTTTTGTATTTGATTGATACCGCGATATAAACCTGCTGAGTTTGTATCTTTCATAACTACTGCAAAGCCTTTATCTATGCTAACTTGAACAATGCCAGCTCCCATTAAGCCAGCACCAACAACCGCAAGTTTCCTAAAATATATAAAAAAAATTATTATCCAATAAAAACGAATTATTTTTATTGCAATATACAAAGAAACCTACTCACTTTGCAGCATTTTTAGGTGCACCAAAGCGATTCTTTTTACATGCTGTTTGTCCCAAAAATAAACTAATGAGACCTCTAGCTTCTGGTGTTACTGCCAGTTCACCAAAAGCCGTAGCCTCTGCTTCATAACCAGCCGTTGGACCTTTATCTAAACCAGTGCGTACTACATCTAAGATCCTAAGAGGAGCAGGATACAAGCCGCCAGTCTTTTTCATTATTTGGTCTTTTGCTCTCTTAAATATTTGATCCTTAACAAAGTTGTATGAAAGGACATAATTCATGATTTTGTCGGTTAAAGTTTTAGGACTGCGATCAATTTTCAAAGTCTTGCGTGCAATATCTTTAGCAGCATTAATTGCTGTCTCTTCTAAATATCTCATAGTGCTATAAACATTACAAATACATATATACATATATATATTTATGGTTTACATTTTATAAAAATACATATTAAAGTAATTTAAATATTTCTCACTTCTCTTCTGGTGTTCCTACTCCTGGACCAAGGCGATTTACTAAAATATCCACAATGCCCAATTGTTTAGCTTTTTGTGCCTTAAGATTTCTACCGGTAAGAATCATATCTAATGCATTAGTATATGCTGTTAATTTGGGTAATCTTTGGGTGCCTCCACATCCAGGTAACAAACCTAACATTACCTCTGGTAAACCTAAATTAGTTTTTGAATCATTGACAGCTAGACGATAGTGGCAAGCCAATGCAACCTAAATTGTTTAAATAAAACTTTGAATAAGCATAAGTTATTAAAAACAATACACATGTAATAGTTCTTTAATTTCTATACCTCTAAACCACCTCCTAGACAACTACCCTGAATTGCAGCTACAACTGGTTTATTACTTTTTTCTATTCTGTCCAAAATTCTGGCACCGTCTTTACATACTTTACAACCGTCTTCTGTAGTTTTAAAACTTTGTATCATACTAATATCTGCACCAGCAATAAAACAATCTGGTTTTCCACTGATAAGAACTACAGAATGTACTGCTGGATCTCTTTCTATATCGTCTAAAGTATTTGAAACTTCATCCATTATTTCACGGTTCAATGAATTTACCTGCATTAAAATTTATTCATGTATTTGCTTGAAATATATATTCTTTGTTTCGCACAATTTTTGTGTTTTGTTTATAATTATTAACAATAATATCATTGTGTTACCGAATGTGATGTAATAATATACCTTGACTCCTGGAGAGTTCATAGTAATCACAGCTACATTGTCCACAACTTTATATTTCAAATGTTTTGTACTTGCTGTGCTAGCAAGATTTCTTATTGTTTGATGCATTACTGGAAGCAAAACTTACAATGTAATGAAGTATAAAAAGTCAAGGTGAAAGGAAAAAATAAAAACCAGCTTCATTAACGTATATTACATATTATCATAATATAAAAATATATTAAACATTAAATAACATAAATAAGGATTAATGTTCATGACATATTAAAATATAACATTCAAGACCTAGATCGATTTTACAGTAGTTTCTTAATTCTGAAATAAAAATAGATACATTGGAAATATTCCTTTAAAATCTTACGATTTATTAATATTTTTGACATGTTATGTTGATATTATGCTTGCAAAGTGTATACTTTCGCTGTTACACATACAAATCACAAGTTCGACAGTTAATAACTTTAAAACAGAACTTCCAGATACGAACTTATAAACGTATAACTGTTATCTTTGTTCATAATTACCTGTTCGCGTCATGAAATATTTATTTATGCACGAAGAGCGTGCAATTGCACTCAATAATCTGTATTGAGACATATTTCAAAGCATTACCTGCACAAGTTCCAAATATACAGTGACTATGATACTATGAAACAGTTCACTGATGTTCACATGGAATTACTGTACGTAACTGGAAGCACCACTGACGCACTGACACGCATGCGTGCAGTACGTGGATACTGTTCGTCTTATACAATTTGCCATACTTTTCAAAGACTTTGACCTCAAGTTGATGCATTTGGAACATGTATTAACAGATAATTTGGGTATTTTGCATATCAGAATATATGATAAGTGATAACAGTTTGCGAGATCATTGGATGCATACTATGTGTTTTTTTCGGAATACAGTATTATATGTGTGTACACGAAAATGTATACAATACTTTCCTTGTGTAAAGTTTGTGATTAACAGATTCATAATATTAATAAAGGATTAAGAATAAATCCATGCGTGTATATTATTTTTGTACAGATTTTATTCATACTACTCTTTGATCTATGTAACATCATTTTTGTACGTTCGTACTTGGTTACTATCTAACAGCAAAGTATAGATTTCATAACAATTTTCAATCGTTTTTTTTTTACTGGAGAGAGGGCATAAAATGACCACACATGAGATATAGGCACAGATGAAATATATATAATAAACCTGTTATGTCATATTGTGGGAATTGTTTCACAGATTAGGGATCCGTCGATGGGTCCAGAAAGGCCACTGCTCACTAAGCCGCTCCGCGAGCGGGAGAGCTCACAAATTTTTTATTCAGTGGCGTCATCGGCGGGAAAACGCTCAAGTTTGTAGTGAACATAGTTCTCACTGTCGCTACAAGTTTGTAGTGAACATAGTTTCCACCGTTTTTTGTAAGATGGCGCCACTGATAGATTTTAATCAATTATTCATTATTTTGTATAAATGCACAATTAATACGATTATTTGCTTAATAACACTATAATATATTATTTTAATACGTTATTTAAACATTTATGTTACTAATGCAAATAATTATCGACCTTTGATTTTAGTACCAACAGTAAGAACTATTTTCACTACAAACTTAGAAGTTTTTCCACCGGTGGCGCCACTATACTAAATTTGTAGGAACTATAGTTTCTATAGCTTGTGCTAAACGGCGCGTTTTTTTCTCATAAATTTAAAACGCGTATGTCACTATATTCGTGTTAGATGCGTTGTTGTTTAAAACAAAAATTTCAAATTCAAATGACATCTTATTATTAAAATTGAAAATTTAAATTATATTCTCACGTATACAAATATATAAATAAATTGTAAATAAGTTAAGTGGATGTTAAATTAATTCCTACAAACTCGCTCACAGGACGCCTTTAGGGAGCGCTGACACGCATCGTACTGTCTAAACTTGTTCATATAAATTTTATTTGATTTCCATCCAATTTACATCTATTCGGTGCTTATTCCCTTATCTGTTTCAGGCATTTTAGCTTTGCCCAGTCACGTGGTTCTGTTTACCTCGTTCTTATTTTTCACTAAACAGAGTTATTTTACATGGATTTCTTGCTTAAAGCGGGAAATATCTGTGTTTGAAATGTTTGAGAATGGTAATTAATTGTTACGTAAATTGGAATTTTCATAAATGCATGCGATCGGTTGCACAGCTTCATAGGACAATATTTTCGAAGTCGGCGTATTAAATTCGCAAAGCCAGGAATTTGTGAAACGACAATTCGTAAACCGAATATTATCCGTATGTTACATTTAATCTCTTAAATCATTTACATTTGTACGAAATGTTAAGTACTAGAACGATTTCATACAAGAAATGTTTAGCCGAAGCTGCTATAGCTTTATTATGTGTATTTATCTTCTGCGAATACTTGATATATTATCTTGTGCTTATTCAGGTAAGTTGCATCAATACTAAATGTGGAGAATGTATTTTGAGAAACATTTGAAATTTCTTTTTTTAATACATTAGTGTTCATGGCCTGCTTTGGACTCTCGCAGAATTGATACAACAATTCCACAACCAAAGGAAGAAGAAACTCCTGTGAATGCAATGTTTATAGCAGACACTCATTTGTTAGGTCCTAAACGTGGGCATTGGTTTGATAAATTAAAAAGGTTTACATTATATATATATTATGTCATTTATAAAGATTTACATTATTTATTAATGGTTCTGTATTTGTGTATTTTGTAACCTAACTACCTTAGATATAGATAGTATTAAATTCTTTTTATTAACATCAATTTTCTTTTATTTAGAGAATGGCAAATGTATATGGCATTCCAAACCATGGTTACTCTTCATAAACCAGATATAATTTTTATATTAGGTATGTCATAATATGCATTTCAACTATCAGAAAATAATTGGTAATGGCAAAATATTATGATTGTTGCAATAGGTGATTTATTTGATGAAGGACAATGGAGCAGTTCCACAGAGTTCAATCAATACATTGAAAGACTTTATTCATTGTTTTCGGTACCTGAAAACATGCATCTTTATGTTGTTGCTGGAAATCATGACATTGGATTTCACTATGGTATTATATAATGTTATACATTCTCTTAACTAGTTAATATTCCTAATAAAAATAGAAATATTTATTTAGCAATTACACCATATTTGAATCAAAGATTTATAAATGGTTTAAAATCACCAAGTGTGAAAAGAGTTAGTGTAAGGGGAAATCACTTTGTTTTAATCAATAGTATGGCCCTAGAAGGAGATGGATGTTTCTTGTGTCGTCCTACAGAAATTGCATTAAATAGAATAGCAGGTATACCCAATATTTGTCCGAACAATACATATTTTGTAAAATTCAAATTTGCAAACAGAAAATTCCATTTATTTCAGCACATTTGAAATGCGCGCAATATAAAGAAAATCATTGTGGCAAGAATAATACGATTTCCAGGTATAGTCGACCAATAATTTTGCAGGTCAGTAAATAATTTTGTTTGATAAGGTAGAAGTTGTTGTACTATGTACTCTGATTATGATTATAGCATTATCCAATGTATCGTGAATCAGATGAAATCTGCAATGAACTTGATCAAGCACCGGATGATATAAAAAATATAAAATTTAGAGAAAGATGGGAATGTTTGTCAAAGGAAGCATCTGAACAAGTATATAAATGAATTTTAAAAAATTGTACTTGAAATTCTGAATTTTATAAAATAAGGAATTTATAGCTTTTAGATATATTGAATCCAAGATTGATTATCAACGGCCATACACATCATGGGTGTAGAAGAATACACAGAGAAAATATACTTGAATTTACTATACCATCGTTTAGTTGGCGCAATAAAAATAATCCTTCACTCTTACTCGTAAGTTGAGAACTTGAAATATTGTTATCTAATTCTGTTTTATAATATTATTATTATTATCAAACATGTACTTGAAATAATATTGGTATTGCAGGGTGTATTTACTCCTAATAATTTTTCTGTATCGAAATGTTATATGCCTGTGGAATCTACAGAAATCAAAATTTACATTGTCAGTACCATGTTCATTATTCTATATTTCATCGTAAAATGTAGACTACAGAAAAATCGGTATAACCTTTTAAAATTTCATTGAAGTTTATTTTTGCGCACTTCGAGTCATTAGTATAGAGACAAAAATCGTTTTGTAGATTGCAATAAGTAATTACGAAAATAATTCAACATATGGAAATGCGAGATTCAACTTGTTGAAAGGTTTGTATATATCTCTAAGGGTATAAATTACATATTATTTACACAATTCGTAGTACAAAATATTTATGTTACTCAGCATAGATTAATGTAATCCTTTGATACTCCCAAATTTGGAAAATCACTTTTACTGTTCTCGCACATTTCAATTTTCTCTATACTAAAAAATAGTACATACATAAAAAACTACAAGGTCATTGAAATCGTAAATACAGTGACAGAAATTTTCATTGTAACATGTATAAAAGTTGCTTACATATTATACATTTTACCTAGTAGTACATTGGAAGTCCAACAAAATATTTCTACATACATACGTACTAAACATAATATCTCTGCCTTTGACTGTGCAGATATTTATAAACAAGCCAAAAATAATTTATATATAATTACTACATATTTTATGTGACAGAATGTTAAGGAATGAAGTTTACATTCAGACTCATACAAATATAAGTAAATACACGAATTTTATATTATTAATCTTACAGTATAATGCGTTCAATGCGCGCGCGCGCGTGTGTGTGTGTGTGTGTGTTAATAACAATCTTTTACAAACATAATCTGCAAAGCATTGTTATGTTATTGTGATAAAACGAAAGATAATGTGAACTAATGTTGTTATTTATAATACTGACATTGACTATGATTAATATCACATTTATGAATATTTTTACATATTTTTTGATACTGTTTCAAACAGTAATATTAATCTAGTCAATGGAACTCGCATAATTTGTATATATGTATATGTGTGTTGTGTGTGTATATATACATTCTTAACATATATAGGTGTATTCTTTACTGAATCATGTGAGTAGCACTCTGTTCTATGAATTTATAAGTACTTTGATAATAACGAAGTATTAAAAAAAAAATCTAATAAACAATTGGAAATAGTAACTATTAAACAATAGTGTACTATTATAATTTATCTCCATTCATTCCTTAATGTAGGGTTTTATATACTTTGGTACAGTCGAAACAAATTTACAGTATTTTAGAATAATATTTGTCAGATGTATTACTCGATTATAATCAAAATTAGATTAACTTATGGAAACTGAAAGCAAACTATTGTACTGTTTTGGTTTTATACATTTAATTTAAGAATAATTAAATATTCATTACAAATTTAGAAACTTGTCTTCTCAGTATTGTTATTTTTAATGCTAATTTTGACTAATCTATTTTTACAGCTGCATATATTTTTCGAATAAATGCATATGCTGCAAAGAAACCTATTGTACCTGTTAATAACCAAAAGGTTAGCACCATTAACGCTGTATACCCGAAATACAGAAGTGTCGGAACAAGTTCTGATATTTCCAATTTAGTCATGAAATAGAATACGGAGTAGGCTAGGACATATACAGCTGACCCTCCACTAACGATGAAGCTTCTCCACCACCATCTGTAATCCTAGGAATGCATAAACACCATCAATATACATAGTGCATAAAAAGTATTTAAAATGTTATAATACTCACTTCTCCACATAATTGAAAATAGACCATAACTATAGATATCTGAGAGCAAGAAATGACGAGAATACAAAAAACGAGGAATAAAAATCCAAAAAGGTAGTAGAATTGGTTTTCCCATAACGCGGTTAAAATGAAAAACAATTCTATGAATACAGCTCCAAAAGGAAGAATTCCAGCCATTAGTGTACTGTAAAAATTATGACACAGTTTTATTTTGATCCAAGAAACATCATAAACTTACTTCATAAACATAAAAAAAAAAACTAACACAGATTTTATAAACTTACCATAATACCGGATTCATATACCATAATTGATCAGGAACTTGTCTCGGAATTTGATTCGTTCTAACAGGATGCGTAAATGGCTGTTTACGATATCCAAAGAAATATCCTAAATATACGAGAGGAAGTGATATTCCAAACCACAAACATAACAACGCTAACATTGTTGTAAATGGTACCGCTCCAGAACTATGCTTTCCCCATATAAAGAAATTTAAAAAGAAACAAGTAGTAAACACTATTCCAGGATAGAGTGTTGCCGTCTGTAATAAATATAATAATTTAGTACTATTTCATTTCATTCTTCAACAATATATCAACTATTTTTGTTCATACTAATATTGCTGTCCTTCTCCATTTTCGACCTCGCATTGTTTTATAAAGACGCGCAGAGAAATATCCGGCAATTAACCCAGAAAATACATATAGAAATATTGCGCAGGTTCCAAGCGCACCTCTGCTAGCAGGGGACAGCATGCCCAACATCGCAAAGACTGAAACATTTACGAAAAAGTAATGTAAACATATCAATAATTGTAGGTTCTTCACATCAGAAAACATGAACTTACATATCGTTATTAAAGTCATGAAAAATATCTGAATTCCACTGCCTATTACAGCAGCAAATAATCGAGGATTCGGTGGAGGTCGAAATACATCTCCATGGACTAGTTTCCAACCAGTCTCTTCGATCGTCTCGTCCAAACCTGCTAGACTGTCACTTTCACCAGCATTGTAACGCGCAATATCCCTTCTAAGAGTTCGAACCATGATCATTGTTAGAATTCCTGTATGATTTCATTAAAAAATTTTGACCATAGAGTATGGAATAATAAAACGAATCAAATACAAGACATAGAGTATATTTACCAGAAAGGAAAAGGACTACAATAAGAGAATTGATGATTGAAAACCAATGAATTTCAACGTCGCTCATTCCTAAATATATGTCCCATCTGCTTGCCCAACTTACATCAGATAGTTTCCATTCCACAGAATATAGGAACAACAGTTTAGTTCCCTTAGGATTGACAAATTGCGGATTTGCGTGCGTAGGTAATGTACACACATTTCCTTCAAACTTCAGTTGACTTATATCAACCGATCTAGCTTCTACTTCAAAACCAACTACTCTAAATTCATTTCTAAAAAATAGGGAAAATTATTAATCTGATAATATCATGTATATATGTACATTGATGCAATTGATACTAACTCTCCATATTTGTGGTAGCTTAATTTTAGTTTAAGGTAGTTATTGATGTAAAACTGATCGTTTATGATACCACCCAGACGATATCCATGATATACAATTACATTCTGTGTATCTTTATGTATTTTCTTTGTTGCTGCTGGTAAATTGTCGATTAACCTATAAAAAAACAGGAATTTTTTCAATAAAATGATATTTTTAATCCTTAAAGCAATATAACCCTTTAACATATATATACAAATTTTAAATTTCCTTACAAGTGTACAGTATAATCGTGTTGAATGCGCTCTATAACACGTTGTGATTCTTCTTCATTCCATGTCATACTAGTGGATGATTCATGACATAAGAGTCTGCAGGTTACATTCTCTGCCATTAGTACCTCATATGGTGTATTTACGATTCTGTATAAATATAATATTACCAAATTAGTTTTTGTTAATATAAATAAGAAATTTATTATATCTTACCTATCACCACGTAATACTTCTCCTAAATTTTCAGATTTATAAATGAGAGTACCATTCTTTGGTCTGCAGAAAGGAACAGAATAATATTCATAAGGTAGTTGTGTATGAGTACTGGTCATTTTAACTGCCTTGACATCAATTTTTTGCCCCTTTTTAAACTCCACGGGAGCAACACCAGGCACATAGAAGCCATTCGTTTCAATTAATAAAGATATTATTACAAGCACAGCGCTATTCCTTAATCTTCCCTGTTAATAAAAAGTAATATAACGATTGAAAAAATGATTTACTTCACGAAAATTCATAAGCAACATAATACAGACACGAAATATACGCGATTATATAAAATAGAAACGTATTCTATCAATTCGAACCGACCATTACAGCTAGTAACATCAATATTCGAAATCTTATTATCGTAACCGTGATAGACTGTTTAAACGATCTGTCAAAAAATGAATACATTTCTACTTTAAGGATACATACATTCGTTGTGGATATGAAAAATATTACAATGAATACGAAATGCCACGTCAGTTCGCCAAAAATATTAGTGTCGTAAAATCGATATTAATACTCTTCAAAAACGAATTGAATGCCATAACACTCACCATTCTATAATATTTTATTCGTCAAAGGCGCGTCACGCCGTGCCTTTTATTTTATTCCTGTACTACTCGCAAAGTTCCCACTCTATTCACGTCAAAAATGAAATTTACTTCAACATGAAGTTTGTATCGAAACACTTATCAGGAAAGCAACACCGAGAATAATTCTTTATGAAATTCCCTAGAAAATATATACTCTTTAGTTATATATACTGGGATGAAGACATAAAATTTGATCGCTTTATTCATCGTAATGGTTGAATATCTCGAAAGATAGTAGACTTGACTTAGTTAAACCTTAATATTTTTATTCTTGGAAGTCATTGAATATTAGTTCAATGATACTGAACATAAGTAAATTGATTAAGTAATACTGTTCACCCAGTATATATATATATATATATATATATATATATAACCGCGCATTGTTCTTTGTAAGCGCGATATCTAACTGCGTGCAATCTGTTCATTCAGTTTTGTTGAATAGGATAATAAATTCTCACGTATATTCACATGTTTTTAAATTATGATAAATGCAAAAGAAATTCTAAAGAATAAAATATCTTTTCCGCGGGCTATTAGTTTCATCTACCCGCATTTCATTAATATGGTATCGTATTCTCTAATATTCGAAGGATAATTCGTACCCTGATCGCACCTTATGGTTGACTTAATTATAGAAAGTGATATGTCAAACAATTAAAATGCTACACGAACCATTAATGCACCATATGAGAATCATTTGTTATTATATTTATTCTTGAAATTCCCGCAATTTTTTATCACGGTAAACGAAAAGGAAGTGAATCTTTTATAAATGTAGAATATTATTTAATTGTTGATTTATCAATTTAACTAGCATATTATAAATTCGTAGCTCATTAAAATCATCGTCTCTAGCGGTTTAGAGATCTATTTATGTTCAATAATAGTACCAATTTAGCTACATAATAGTCAGTGTTTTGATCAGGCTTTTCCGAGCGAAAAAATATACCCCCGAAAAGGAAAATATCGTCCCACGTGGGGACTCGTTTAATTACAAGTTACGTTATTTAGATATGCATCTGTTCGGTTAATTTTTATTTCAGAACAATGGTTCAGGTAAGTGGAAACTTTTAAGCATATTATATCGATAAATTTCCGTGGAGATTGTTTAAACCAGTGCATTTTTCTATCGGGTCTATTGGGAATTTTTGATTGTTTTTTTTTCTGCTGTCATCCATTAGTAAATAGGAAAGATGGCAGCAGATTATTGCGCTTTTTTCCCGTACATTCGCGGATCCGACATTTTTCTTAAAATTAAGCCTTTCCGCAAATTTTCACTTAAAAGTTGTACAAAAACATTGGTTACGGTTCAGTTTTACGTACAGAATTTATCGCGTGCATCATTTTTTTAAATGAAACGCGATTAACGTCGAGCAAAACAGAATATATAATAGTTTTTATATGCCGGACTTGTGTCAAATACGGTGTACGACTGGATAGAAATATTAAGGGATTCTATTAAACGTTACTCCTGTCAATGTGAAGTAAAAGTTTTAATGTTTTATGAATGGAGAATGTATCGCGAATTGCTTATTTATAAATATTCTGTCGTTTTCATTTGAAATATGACGAAAATGAGGGTATAAAGTTTTCTTTGTTGCTATAAATACGTATGTTATAACTGTTATGTTAAGTGTCACCTTTGGTTTTTAAACATGAAAAATTCTATTTACAGGCAATCGACGAGATGGAGCAAAGGGATCTCCCGCAAGCATTTCGCTTGCTCGGGGAGATGAATGCCAATGTTTTGCAAGTTAATCAACTTGTAGATAATATGTTGATTCGTGTAAAAAATGGGGAGCTTTCTACAGACAAGGGTCTTAGTTTCCTAGAAATGAAATATCATATGTTAATTTCTTATCTGATTAATTTGACTTACGTAGTTTTAAGAAAATGTTCAGGAGAACGTATAGAAGGAGATCCATCGATCGATCGTTTAATTGAAATCAGGACTGTCCTAGAGAAAATCCGACCAATAGATCACAAACTTAAATATCAAATAGATAAGCTTGTTAAGACTGCAGTAACCGGTACTACTAATAGTGATGACCCAAGTAATTTTAAAGCAAACCCTGATGCACTAATTGCCAAGGTTGATGGTATCGACGATGAATCTGATAGCGATCAGGAGGGTGAAGTAGATGGTTTTAAATCGATGCAATCAAGGAAGTCTAATATTTACGTACCACCGAAACTTGCTGCAGTACACTATGGTTAGTATATAATATTCAAATATAGTAACGAATTTCGTGGTATAACAAAATGTAATGCTTAACGTGTATTACTATCGCAGATGGAGATGAGACAGTTGCAGACAAAATTCGTAAAGCAGGGGAAAGAGCTCGTAGACGTGCAGTGTCAGGTACTGTTTTAAGGGAATTAAAAGAAGAATATTTAGACGCACCTATCGAAGACACGCATGGTCTGAGCGAGAAACAAGTCAGCCTGGGTCGTGAGAATAAACGGAAGATAGAGTACGAGGAAACTTACATGACGCGTTTGCCAGTTACTAAACAAGAAAAACACAGACGTCGTCAAATGACAACAATTGGCACACTTGGAGATGAAATCACATCTTTTGGAGAATCATCTGCTGTGTCTGCTAAAAAGAGGAAAACTCAGAAAAAAGGAAAAGCTAAAAAGAGTGAGTTCATAGATACCATCAAATCCTCTTATTTTCGATTAACAATTAATATTAATAATATAGATTTAACTGTTTTCCTAGGTTTCAAGAAAAAACGGCATCACTAAATCAACTTCACAATAATTTAAAAAGCTGAATTTCGTACAGCGTTAATAATTAAGGTAAAACGCAAAAAATTTACTTCAATTCTTCTTGAAAAAAAGCAGATGCCATTAATACTCGTTAATAAGTTAAGCTAAATAACTCATAACATCTAGTAATAAAAAAAAAAAAAAAAAACAACCGTCGACGGTGAAGTAAAATAGCACGATGGTAATTTATTACTGCATAAGACATACTAATGGTCGTGTAATTGATAATTATAGTTAATAATGATTTTAATCTTTAATTGTTGTCTGAAATCAATTTTTATCTATGGAGTTGAAATATTCCATAAAACGCAAGAAATAATATTCCGAGATGCGAAAAATAATGTCAAGGTACATACGAGCTTAACTTATAATTAAAAAAAATTACGTGTAACCGTGACACAATTAATCAAATAATGGATTTCGGCTCCAAGATCTAAAATTGTAAGTTAAACGTAAAAGTTGAAAGCAGATTTTTCTGCTTTATTTTGAGATATTCTCCAGCTATAGAAGAAAAAAAACCGGTAACATAGCAGGAGGGATGATATTGAATTAATTGTTACAGAAGCGTAAAAATCACAAGACATTCAGTGCAAGCATTAGAAAATTCAACTTTAATAAGGGAAAATGACTAGAAATTGCAAACATTGTGCAACTTCTAAGAATAATGTTCATCGTGCGATATCGCATGTCTTAGGATTTTCTCGCTATTTTAGAGTAGTGAAGTAGTTAATAGTTTTACTATTATATGTAAATTTTGTTTGTGTTTTTCCCCTGGTGAACTGTTGAGGCTATTATATCTCGATGTGAGTCATATTTTATGTTAAGTTTCTTTTTTTACAATGTATCTGTGCATTGTACTTGTTGTTTTAACTTGAAAAATTCATTTGGTTAAGTCGTTAAACTTATATTGAAGATAATATAAGGATAACACGAATGTGTCAAAATTCAAAATTGATGTCGTCAATTTCTCGAGTACTCATTAAGTTTACTGTGTTTAGTTTCTTAGGGAGGGGGTATGTGTGATATTGGAATAAAAACTAATATACGAAGACTAGAGCGAAAATCACTTCTGCAATAGAATAAAGTGGTTGTACAATCAAATTGCAGGAAGTATCCGTCTCTTGCGCTTAAATAGGTTCCATTTTTTAAATATTAGATATAAACTATTGGGTATCTTTTTAAACCCAAAGGCAATGTTTCCTTTTAAAGTAAAGGGAAGGGTAATGTTATATGCCCTTTATACAGATCGTATATGGATATCTATATCCATTGCTTGTTCCTGCAGAAGTGATCCGCATTACCTTCAAAAGTACTAATTCGCTATATGCTAACCGAGGGCTCAACCATCCATAGATGTTATATTTTTTACAAAAGTGTTCATAGATTGAGCCAACTTGGTAATGCATGATGTTACATGTGCCCTCTCTTTTTCAATCTGTGAAGACGATTAAAATGTGATAAATTAAACATGAAATAATAGTTAAAGAAACTAACAAAATAGCACAATTGCTGGGCATTATTTACAAGTGCTAGCAAGCCTAATGTCAGCAGCCTTGTCGTATTTGGTAATGAAGTTGGAATACTGAATAGCGGGAAGATTTTGTCACAAAATAATGTCAAGACGTTCTTACAAAGTCTCATGCTTGTTTTACATATGGCATGTACAAAATAATCAATGCAAAGTTACAGCAGGTTTCAAAATTTGCCCGACATTTAGTTTTCTCATACTTTATACATAGATGATAATTTTTGAAACACACTTACAACTGAGATAACTGTAAGTCCAAAATACTGATTTGTGTGAGTGCGTGTGTGTATATATTTATATATACATATATACATAGAACATATTCCTTCGTTTATACATTCTGAACTGTTTATAAATATCGATAAAAGAATATCATGTTGTTTACAACAAATAAGATTATTACTGAGAATATGGTCTTGAAAGATCATATATACACATACTTACGATCGCATCTGTTTATTGAGTACAAAGTTTCCTAACATACTTTGCATATTTTGGACTTATAGTAAAAAAAGTGTATGGGTGTGAAAAATATTCATATGATACACATATCCGCACACAACATATAGCAGCAAAGTAATAGGATTACATTGAATACACTACCTCAAATCAATAGAAATATGGATTTACAGTAATAGAACTGCATCAGTTACGTTTACATTGTTGTGTCATCATTTATTTATATATTTACTGACACCATCATTCTGTTGCGAGATATAATGGAATATATTATGCCTTATGGAGAGAAGCGTCTAGGATTTGTTATCTTTGAACCTGCTTGACAGGTACGAATCTTTTAACAATGTACAAAGAAAGCACAAAGTATGTAAACGTCACTGTGAGCAGTGAGTTTAAAGTAGTCCTTCAAATCCAACAACGCTGCCGAATAAACAGAACTAAAAAGAAGTAACAAGATACATTTGCAGCAAAAAAAAAAACGAGATAAGGATGATTTATTGACTACATTCATAGTCTGAAGAATGTAATGTTTTATTTATTGGTGAAATTTCTATAATTTATGTACAATGACAATTCAATGTGTGTGAACGAGCGATAGAGAAAACTGGGAAAATGAGATAAGGAGAGAGAGTTTACCTGTATATTACAAATGGTTATTATGGGCGAATTATTATTATGAATTATTATTATGAATTACTATTATTATTATCATTATTATTACATTATCATCATCATCATCATCCATCATCATCATCATCATTATCATCATCATCATGTAGAATGCTTCTTACTGACTGAATAAAATGTTTTCAATGTCAATAATTGATTCACGTAAATAATTTACCCTTACACCTTTCGAAATAATAATTCAAATTCCGGAACGGTAGATACCTGCCTAGATTCATTTTCTAGTGATTTTTAAGCGTTACGTTGGTATTGTATTAAATTTAAGATACTCGAGTATACCTTCGCAACGTATGTCAACGACACATCTCACCGATATCTTTCGGACGGTCTGCCTGTCGTTGATCTGTGGCACGGTCGACGTGGTTGGTAAGTCATTTTACAATGATTAAATTTCAAGTGTAGAAATAATATTTGTCGAGTATAACAACACATTTAAAACTAGGCATCGAAGTGTTTCTTCGACATGACATATATCTTTTACTTCTCATAACTTTGGGTTTCGTGTCAGTGCTAGAGACGTGTCAGTTATTAAGTGTTGCATGATTTCCACGTAAGACAATTTATTTCTCCCATCGCTGTCTGTACAATATTTACATCTTATTCTCCGTTATAATATTTCTCTGCTCGTTCTTCATATTTTTCGGTCTTCTTCTTCCGCCCTTCCTCTCCCCCACTCTTGTTTTCTCCTTTCTTTCGCTTACTATTTCTCTTTGTTTGTCGCACATCTTCCGTCTTCTTCTAACGTTCTTCGCAAAATGTCGAGAGTGCCAGAGGCGCTCACATGGGTATCATATAAATTATTTTTATCGTTACGTAGTCTACAGTAGAATAGCCTGCTATGGGTAGACACCATACATTTCACACAATTTTCGTAGAGTGTAACGAGCATTGTTGACATTTATTGTTGATACATTAAATTTTCAGTATTTTTTCCCTCCATTTGCCATCGGTCATTATTTTCTTCACAACCACCCTCTTTTCCGTGGTTATTTTTAAATCACCCGCGGCGCAGAACTAGGAGAATGCTCTCTTCAAAGTGATTGAAGAACCTTATAACCAGACTGCGAAACTTTATGCAAGTATGGTATGCTGCAAATATGCAAAGTATATGCAAAATACATGTGAAGTATATACATGAAATATGCAGGACTTCTGCATTTTTGTAGAGATCATAAAATTCATACAAGTTTCTTTAGTTAATATATCGATATGAACATTGTACAAACTATTATAATATTACATAAATTATTATTACTCAAATTTCAAACATGATTAAAATTGTGTGACATTTATGATGTTAATGGACATATTTCATTAATTAGTTCAAAGAGTGTCACATACACACATGTTATCAATTACCAATAATTCTTTTTTGTTTCTTTAAGATTGTAAACAATGGCTGCAACGCAACTAAGCAGGGCTCGAACCATCAAGAAAGTCGAAAAACCTCGACCACTTAAACTCAATCAACGCCACTCGACCGTCGATGGGCGGATTACGACTGGTAATTTTCAATTGATATATTTCAAACATAGAATACAAATATTTAGTTTGACTCAGAGTAAACATTTGACAATTAACTTTGGCAGTGGAGGACATAGTATCCTTAATCGACAACGTTGCAATGCAACTAACCAATGGCTTCCATGAGCGAACGCTGCAAATGAATGTGGTTACAATGTATAATCATCTAAAACTTTATGCCCATCAATTAGAAGCTATTTATAAAGGTATGAACTTAAATAATACATGCTTATATTCTTCTACACATTTTAACATAGTTTCTATTCTGAATAACATTGATTTCATACACAGATCAGCTGGACAGAGCTTTTGTGGCAATCAGAAATGGAAGTCAGGACGAAAAATTAGATCTGACGACTAGGGTTCACCTGCTGGAGCTTATAGAGTTGAGAGCTAAGCAATGGCGTCACAATGATTCTATGGATGTGTATTACACACAGAAATTATCACATTTGGATAATGTATGTCGAATTAATTTTTTTTGTGATGTATGTCAAACATTTCATGAAGAAGTCCAAATGACGTTAACAGGCAGAAGTGATTCCCGATACACCCACGAATGCATTGTCATCTCCTTTGGCAGCAATGACTTCACCCACTGTGCCATCAATTTTGGGACCAGGTGAAGTGATAAAAAACAGCGGCAAATTTGTTAAGCCCACACGTATTCCTGGAAAAAACTACTGCAAAGATGAAGTTGTTATACGTAACAGTGATTCTGGCAAAGGTAAAGAGAATTTAAATATTTGATTAATGATACTTATATATTATAGCAGAAAAATATCTGTAAAGCTTTGTCAAATGTAGAATATGGCCTATTTTTCAGCATTTTAATTATTTAATTTAATTTTAAGTCATCGTGCACTATAATTTTGGTTCTGTTTTTCAATATGTTTTGTATCATGTTAATTTTGATCTCGTTTTTCACGCGTATTGTAAGTAGTATTGTGTTTCCACTTCTAAATTATTTGCACAAAAATACAGTGATGGGAATAAAAGGGCGGCGGGTTCACATGATCGAAGAGCTCAGCCAGACAATCATCTCCTTCCAGCGAGGTAAACAAATAATTTGCAGATGGCTTGATAGCATCATACTCATGCACTACAAGAATAATTAATTGTATATTTTTTTTAACGTCTATTATATATATTAAAGTTCTCGTTACAACGATAATTAGATTTACGGGGTAATTCAAATTCATTACAATATCATAGTTGAAGATATGAGTCTAGGTATTTTATTGGACAAAATCAAATGTTTCCAGTTCTTTTTTATAATGATGCACTACAAGATACCAAAGATTTATATTCTAATAGCAATTTATAAAACCTTTGTGAAAATAGTATTTATTTGATTTTACGATTATAACTTATGTTTTAACCTGTGCTTATGTTTATTTGCATGAAATATTTTGATTTTTTTTGCGTTGCTATTAATTGGTGAAATAATTGTAATATACAAATCATTGAACGTGTTCTGCAAGAGCTTTTGAAATTTGATTATTCATATTTTATTATGCAATTGTTTTTATTATTGTCGCGTGATTATTAACGGTATGACATGCATTGTGTTTGCAATTTAATAAATCACATTTACGTAAGTATAAAGTGTTATGAACAGCATTTGACGAACTTAATACAATTGATTTTACCGCTTATAATTGCTTATAATTTCAAATGCACTTAAAAACTATACTACCTTCCTTTCACAGGAAAGACTCGTATACAATTAATACCGATCTTCTTATTAATGTTTTAATCCACAAATAATTTGTCTAAGAGTGTTTGGAAAATGCCTGTATTTAATACATTTTTTTTTTTAGATGTAATTCTACACAGATGCATCACATTAACCATAATGCAGATGATTATATCTGAAACACATATTGATCATAACAAATGTTTGGTACCGTATTAATATAAAAAAATGTATTAGTTTAATATAATCTTTCTTTCACAGTAAACCCTGGAGCCAAAGAACGACTTGTCCAGATCACGGGTACTTCCGAGGACAAGATACAGTAAGTGCGATTTCATCTTTATTTCAGTTTATTAAGCTGTGAATGCATCATTTATTTCTGGAATATTATGACAATAGTTATGCGAAGGACTTGATAAAAGATACGATTCAACGAAATGCATCGCCGGTGAGATTGGAGCAAGGTGGAGGAGAAAAAGGAGCTATGGGTGGTTCTAGTTCCTCGTTAAATAGCAGTGCGTCGGATGAAAGTAATCGGTTGCAACATCAGCAACAAAATTCTCGTCTACGTTCGCTCCTCCACAGCTTCTCCACCAACGACGCCAGTATAGGCGAATATAAATATACGGTTACAGTTGGTAATCAATCTCTGAAGATCACAGGATGCAATCTGGATCTTGTCAGGGTAACAATTCTTGTATTCTAAATTGTTTAAATTGTACATTATCGTATAATACATTTTAACATATGTTAAATGCTATGTATCTTAGACTGCCAAGTTAGTCCTAGATGAATACTTCGTGGGAGATTCTGAGAATTTCACAAGTGGTATAGAATACTTCAATTTTGAAGAAGAATCTCCTTATTCGGTCTCGTCTTCCAACATACCAAAAACACCGTTAACTCCAAGTAGTACCAATGAAATAGGCCGAGAACTAAGTATGGATAGCACTGCAACTTCAGAAAGTGAAGAGACTTACAAACCCCGTATAATTTCTGAAGTAAATCCTTCAACTCAGGAAGGTAATTACTTCAAATGATTACCGTCGATAGAGTGATATAAATGCCATGTATATAACATTTAATTATACGTCTATCTAGTTCCAGAAGTCAGAGAACTCACGTACGAGTTTTTGTTGTTGTGTTCAACAGGCCCTTATGCCAAGCGGCCGCCTGCGGATTGGGCTCGAATTCAAAAGGAGTGTCCCAACATTATTCGCAAGGTACATCAATGTGATACCAATGCTAATCACCTGATGTCCAACAGTATTACTAATTTTCCTTACGTTTAATGACTCACGTTTAATATCTCAAAATTAACAATACTCGCATTGACGTTACCTATATTTTGAAGTTATGTTTTTTTTTTATGTTTAAATGTGTTAACGCTATTATTAGTTACATTTTTATTTGTTACCTTTATAGTAGAATATTATTGAACAAATTTTTTATTGATGAAGAACGATTGTGATTAAGGTATAATTATTTGAGAATTCTTAACTGTTATCAAAAAGATCAAATTCTATTTCAGAACTATTCTCATTTCTATGTAAGTACAAAATCGGCTAATCCAAGTGATATATCTACAAAGTAAACACTAAAAGATTCATACATATATATATATAGATCGGTTCAAATGATTCTGGCGTTCCTAGTGCTCTTCACGCTGTTTGTGATAGTATGTTCAGTACCATTTGAATAGAATGTACTTAAACCAAAGATTTTATGTTACTATCGTGAAGTACGCGATATTTGATACTTACAAAGAAAGCTTTTACGTTATCTGTATTATATAGAGATATTATATATAAGATTTATTTCATGTGTTATTTAATAATTTTATATTTATTGTAACATAACTTGCCTCAAGATTGTACTAATACACAATATTAATTAATTGCTTATATTAATATATGTATAAGTTGTACATTATATTAATATATAGTAGCAATGTGTTTATTGTATTAGTACAATACGTCTATTTCATTATAGTTGCGATGTAGATGCTTCGCATTACACAGTATTACTTAATAGGATATAAAGTTTTGTTTTATGTTGTTAAAAAGTAAAGTTGTGCTTAACAACATGACTACAAATGAAGAGTGGAAATGTATGACGTTTGTTTAAAAAAATATGATTTTGATTTTTAAGTTCTTATAGATATTTCTTGTTTTTATATTAAATACACATAGTTTATTATTAAGCAAATTTGAAAAGCAAATTATCTCAATTTCTATTTCGTTATTACTACTATTACTACTACTATAACTGTTATTATTATTATTATTACTATTATTAGTACGCATCATATAAAGAAAAGTACTAAATTTTATACATTATGTGAGAAATTAAAAATTATAGTATTGATATCACTGTACAATTTTATGAGATTTCAAAGATAATCAAGCGTTTTTACTTTTTGTATTTTTAAAGATCGTATAGTATAAATGTTATACAAAAAAAAAACTGTGACAAATTCTTCCGTTTCTTTGTCTAAAAATTAAATTAAGAACGTTTGGTGTCAGTACGATAAGATGGCATGCACGTATATAAACTACTTAACACTTGCTTTACAAATTTAAAGCATGCTGCTTGTAACAACATACCGAGGTAAAGTAGAAAATAAAATATTCCTTACTGTTTATTATTACATTATCGTTGATAATATACATTAATAAAGATATTTTTTTTCACAGGCACCGATTCGCTGGTTCGAACCGGAGGCATATAAAGCTAAGGTAGCAGCTGCTGGTCTTATTACAGTATTGCCTGTCGGAGAAGGGGAAACTGATCCGGAATGAAATCGAGAAATTATTCTTTTCAAACGTCGTGAAATCGTATGTATTAGTAGTAATCTTTACATCGATCTTTTATCTCGATGTATTGTGATACATTTTCCAAAAAACCTCAGTATAAGATTTGTTCTTAAATGGACAAGTATACACACGCATCGATATATATATACACAATATTTCATGAATCTAGCAATATGTATTGCTCAATTCAATTATAGCAATACGAAGTCTCTAATATAAATATCGAGATAAGCGATAATATTTATAAATTTGTGCGTGTTCAAATCGAAATCTTCTTTGAATAATTGTAATATTTTTTGAAGCATTTATGCTTTTCTATCGCACTTCTACGCAGCTATTGAAGAGGTTTCGTTGTACGCTGCTACCTAATTTTTATTTAATTGAATGCGTGAGCTACGGCGAATATTTTTTACCGTATACACGGTATCCGGCATACCAAATGTACGTACCATTTTACGTATCATAGCAAATTAATTATTGACTTTTATTATTATCGAGAATATTCGACAGTTCATTTAAACACTTGTGAAAGACAGTAAACAGTTTTTACGATGTTATCATGATAGATTAAATCACGGTATACGATGAAGTTCAATTTGTGAAAATTATGTATAAAGTATGTTCAGCATTTTTATCGATAATTTTCAATGTAAACTAAATGGCTTAGGTATAGAATTTGAATGAGTAAGAAAATAACTAAATAAACAAATTAATGGCATTGGTTCTACAGTAAAAGTAAAACTGATCGTTTTAGAATCTAATTTGGATAAGTATTGGAGAAATGCATCTTTACGTGCGTAATAGACGTAACAAAGTAATGGAACGAACAGTGATTTAGCATAGTCTAGTCTACCTATTTAAAGTAGGCACTACCATTTTGGTAATTTCTCTGCTGTGAAATAATAACCAAAAAAAAAAAAGGTTTCATTTAATCTCGAGGTTTTATATTTTATACACTTAAACGGAGGTGTTATGTGCAGTATGCAATATTAATTGTATGAAAAAATGAAAACAGAAATGTCTCTTACTTTTAGTTGCTTTTTTTTTATACAATTGATGTGGAGCATTAATTTTTAATGTTGCACATATATTTAAAAAAAAAAAACTTGTTTTAGTAATATGATTGATACATGGTTGTATTGTTGTCAGTTTTCTATTAGAGACAAAAATTTTATTTAAAGAAAGTATTTTTCTATTCTACTACTATTTCTTTGTTTTTAAATAAGCTTACAATATTTATTGAAAACGTTTCGCTAGCCAGAACATAATAACTTGCACATGTAGTTTTACATTTTTGTAAGTATGTTCTACTATAATTATTTTTGTCATGTTATTTAAATTTTTTATTTTTATTTATTGTTTGAACTTTACAAGGTTGTGTTTGCATGTTTTTCATTGTTTTCTGGCTTGAAACTTTTTGTCGAAAGAAAAAATGTTTTGTTTATTTAATTTGGGACTAAATCGCAAAAACTGCACGCATATGGGACGTTATGTTTGTAAGTTTTTACATCGTTTAATATTTATTACAAAATTTACACGATTATTTGAATTAAATTATTAGTAATTTATTTCTATTATCACTAACTGCAGTAATATATTATATTATTGTACTTTGCTCTTTAGTAATAAATCAATAAAAATAAGAACGTCGTTCGATTATGATTTTTTTACCTTAAAGTACAACGACTTCAAGTTTATTATGAATTCCATATATACGATATATGAAAAATATGTATAGTCTAAATTTGCCTTATCGCTAATAAGTAAACGTTTAACATGGATATGTAAATGAATGAACTGATCTTTCGGCGCTACAAGTTTTATTATTCCAGTATCGTATAGAAATGATAATGACCGAAATATACATTCACATTCAATTTGTGCAGACTCCATTGTACTAGATATCGATTATGCCTTTTTGCTTTTTCACTTTTTGTAAAAGTTAAAAATGTTATATCCTCTGATATTATGTGCATAAAACATTTGATATCAAAGGTCTACTCATTGATTGCATTTTGTTATAATCTGTCATATTAATTAATCGTTAATCGCTATATTGCAAATGATCTCAATACGTAAGTTAAGAATAATACGATATACATACATTCCATATATGTACCATAAATTCAGTCTACTTTTTATCATCATATAAATTAATTCAGTCTAAAGTACAGTACCAGTTTCGTCTGTAAAAATGTTTGTTATCGTCAATAATCGTAAAATAAAAGTACAATTAAAAGTATATCGTTAGTACGTTAATAAGAGTTCAATATTACCTATAGTAGTAAATAGTAAGGCATAGTTTGATATAAATAAAACACTTCATCCACTATGAATTATCGATGGAACTTTTAAGGCGGTTACGAAACTTATCATCTAATTTGAGAAACTGGTTCTGTAGCATATCGGACTATTAAATTATACGATCAATCGTACAATGATTGGCAGTTTCGAGAGAATAGTGGTCTTCGATAATATTTGTCCATTTCTCAAAATGCATCAACACGTACCATATACTTTTAAATAAAATGGACTAACATGCGATTAATCCGGTAAAACAAAAATTATAAAGTACCACCATTCCAATTATACAATTGTATAATTTTATCATTGCTATTTTCTTAAATATATATAATTGCATATCTATATATAGTTACGGATGTAAATGATCATGTATATGTATATATGCATACAACATAGAGTCGTAGGAATATTTTGTCAGTGACGAGTAATCAACGACATCAAATTTATTAACACGAACGAATATATAATAATTATTAGAAATGTAAGTATTTTTATTCCGATGTCGGCGTTTTATCCAGAATTGGCAGCTATCTAAACTACTCTCACGAAAAAATTCCTCGTCCCTGTCTCATATTCCGAGATAAATAGACAGTAGCACAATTTATTCTACATATGATTTACTTATGCTCGTAAGGAATTAAAATAAAATGTACCATACTCTCAAAAAATTAATATGTAACTTGAGTCCCACTACTCGCATAGACGAAAGACATTCTTTATTACAGAATATCTTTTATATATATAAAGAAAAAAAAAACAGACAAATGTAGCTTGTATAGAATTAAGAAATTTGAAAAATATTGCAACAAAATCGCACATCTTGCTACTAAATACGTGACAAAATCTAGTCAACGCATTCATTAGTTACAACAAATATTTAAGATTGGAACTAATTACACTTTAATATTTGTTATTGCTACGTAAACGTAATAAGTGAGGATTTAGCGTAATGAAATCGGTAGCTTTCTTTCGTGAAGCTTAATACCACGGCGATCACAAGGTTTGCATGTGTACAAATATTAAAAAAATGTTAAGGATACACTGTGTTCACATTTATTATAGTCTAAACATTGTTTTTATAAAACATAAATCGCTAAAAGCGATAATCTACTTTTTAAATACAGTACTATATCATAATTACTTTGTTTTGGGATAGCAGGTATATTCCAATCAAGTTTGCTAACCACAATTTCGTTTTAATAAATCTGGTACTAAAAAATTCACATAGAGCTCATAATAACTCTACATCCTAAGAATGTTATAATGAACGATGATATAAATGACTTTCCAGTGATAATATTATACATTTATAAGAAAAGTCAAATTAAATGAATACAAAATTACCTATTCGTTTGGCAAACGTGTGTTTTATCGATCCAATACACGTGTACCTTTTTTCCTCAAACGGCTGGCAATGTCTCGTAAAGAATGCTATTTACAATGCAACAGCCCATACTTGTGTATTTTATTTCTAAATTTAGAGGTCACAAAATTCTCGTACTGTGACAGTAACAGAGACACAACCTCTAAATTTAGATTGTTTACACAATTCTTAATTCACTTTTGTAATTCGCACACATTAGAAATTTCTACCTAAAGGATTTAAATTTGCATCGAACTATTCAATTTTAATTTTCATTATTTATAAGATCTGTTAATCGCCTATATGCAAATGCGACCGTTAAAACTGCGCCATGATTGTTAAGCGATCAGCTCGAGACTACAAATATGTGTCGATTAAACACTGAGTATAATGTCTTTACCGAAATTTTAACGCAGTGTTCTATATAAAATATGTCCCCGTACTCTCGCATTTATCTTTTGTAAATATAGAAAATTATACCATTATTTTTCTCCCAATTATTAAAACGAAAAATTCACTAAATACAATCAGTGGGAATTATCTTTTTGTAAAATAATCAATTTGCCATAGGGTTAAAAGACATAGTCTGGTCCTGCCATGTCTATTGCCCATCTAAATTTATCCCTTTGAGTTTTGTTGTAAATTTTTTCAATAGGGACGTTATTCTTCTTGCACCTAAAAGAACAGAAATTCAATATTGTTTATCTGTAAAAAGTATACGATATGTAAAACAAAATAGAATACATAATTACCATGCAACGCTAATCCTAGGATCAAGATAATTCAGCTTGGAAGTGCCTAATGCAATTTCTTTATTTTCTTCTTTATCTGTTGCTTGAACTTCCAACTTGGTTAATTGATCCTTTAGTCTATCAAGCGTTTTCTTTTTCTTCTCATACACACTGCAATTGGAGGTACACAATAGAATATTTATTATCCTTAAACCCTAAATTACTATCAATTTTAATTAACATACACTTTTTCTTTAACAGATCCATTCTTCGCATCACGTTTAGCATCCTTTACGGCTAGTTCTGCATCAGCTATAGCTTCTTTTTTAGCTTCTATTTTTGCTTTAAGATTTTCCATAGACTTTGCGTGAGTTTTAGGCACTGAACGTTGATGGTTACATAGTATTGCAACTGCTCGATTTGCCCTATTATACGACAAAATCTTTTCTGCTTCTGTATCATCTGGATTTGTTAATTTATCTAATTGTTGTTGTAGCGTCCAAGACGCGTTGTATGTTCTGAATACTTTAGCAGTAAGACCTTCCATCAATTCGTTTAAATGTTTATTCATAACAGTTGTATTAAGACGATCGAACAGATCATCGCTAGGAGACTTATTCTCCATAAAAAGTTGTAAATTTTTAAATACTCGTTTCTCTACTGGCACTTCATTGTAATACCTTATGGAATCCTTACCTACAAATATATTGACATGAAAAACATGTGCATAAATATATACCTCTATTTAATTTAATAAAAAAATTAATATACCTAGGAAATCAAATACAACTACATATTCTTTCCCATCTTTTTGTTCGTGTAAAGAAATATGTTCTACTCGTAAAGAACAACAGCCCACAGTATCTGCCTGGTCCTCATCCTTTTCATTACCAGCTCTGAGCGCTAATTTATCTATGAAGTACAATGCAACAGCTCTTTGTCTAATACGCATTTCTTTACTTTTCCAGTCTTCCCTATATTCAGCACGAATTTTATCTATCGATTGTGCTAATTTCCTAGCAGTCTCATATTTCTGCCAATCTTTTTCTCCCTTAAGCTTACTTGATGGATTGAGCATAACATATTTCACTTGTCCTTGAATATTTTCTGTCCAAGAAGCAAGCCATGTAACATTAGGATCGTGTCGAATTTCTTTCCATTTGTGACCAACTGGTGGTTTTGGTATGTTTGAGTCTTTGGAGCAATTTATTAGAATATCTTCAGGCACAACTCTTCTTTTCAGTTTACCCATTTTAGGATGTTCACCGCGACCTCTGAATAAACCGGGAGGTTCAATTTTGAAATTTCCTATTTTTTCTTTATGTCCATCGATAGTACAAAAACCATACTCTTTTTGAATCTCTTCGTTCATTTCTTTTACTTTTTGTTTTTCTTCTTTTGTCATTGCCTTTCTTTCTTCAGACTTTTGAAGAAAATATGCATGCATTTCTTTAAAATTGCACTTACTTAAGTCAACTATTTTAGATCTTTCCGATTCTGTCATCACTTCTCGCCAATCATGGAAAAAGTTAGTGTTGAATGCAGGCTTTGTAGTATAATCATGATCCAACATGCGTGCATAGAATGTTGCAACTTCCTCTGCATCCTCGCTTAATTTCATCTCTTTTCCATTATAATAAAACTTTACATCAGGAGGTAGTGGTTCATATGCAGGTGCAAATACCGGTCCTTTATGTTCCAGAAATGTCCATTTTGTTCCATCATTCTTTTTCTCCTCCTCCCACCTAAAATAATTTCGTAGTTATTTTCACATTAGTTCACTTCATTTATTGTTTATCACCTAAACGTTAAGCTAATAAAAATTTTAGCTTAAAATATTATATAAATTCTAACCTCAAATGACATAAAGTTTTAAGCACCTTAGATTTAGAACTAAATTTGTGACTAAGATTGATAATTACGCGTCTAGATAAAATTAATTGAAATTTTATAATAATTTTAATCATATCGAAGATCAACTACTATTTAAATACTTCATTTTTTATTGCACTGGACATCAAAATCTGGTATCCTCATGTTCTGAAGGTTAGATCAGATTAAATGATATAACCTTAACAACGCGAAAGCCCATTTTACGCGGGATTTTTAAATGACGAGAAAATTTTACCATTTCCAAACTTCTTGTTCTTCTTCCTGCTTTTTCTTTCTTGGACTTGGGTTTTCTCCTTTTGATGCTCTAGCACCAGCTTTTTTCTTTGGTTTCTACAAAAACGTTAATTAAACAAATTTTTTAGAATCGAAAATTATTAAAAAATTATTTTATCATCAATACATAGATAAATGTGTTACTTGTTCAATTTCTTCATCTCCATCATCATCAAATTTCCGTTTCTTTTTCTTTGTTTTTGTATCAGTTTTCTTGGATTTTTTGCGCGCTGAAAGTGGAACATTATCATCTTCTTCTTCCTCTGAATCCAGTAATCTTTTAGTTCGTCTATTGGGAGCCGTCGACCTTGCGCTCTGAACAATTTTTATTTTATATTAAGTAGATATTCTGCAATATAATAATATCGAAACTTAAACATAAATTTTATTTACCAAGGGTGTATCTTCTTCTGAATCGTCTTCGGTTTTAATAGTTGTATTATGAAGATCTGAAAGTCTTGTGTCATTTCCATCAGTTGAATCCATACTAGCGTCCTCTTCGTTAGCAGGTTCTTCTTCGTTCTCGTCTTCTTTAATATACAATGGTTGTTCTCCACCGCTGTCATCATCATCTTCTGGTTCAATTTGTGAAACAGGTTCCTGGAAGTTATAAATGATTTTAGTGATATCGAATGTAGTCGTAACAGGTTACTTGAGAATATAAAATAAAAGTGTGTACCTCTTTCGCTTCAGTCTTGAAATAAAGTTCATTGTAATGAAATTCTGTATTTTGTAGGTGATTAGGTTTTTCATCTACTTGCTCCTCTTTTACTTTAATTTCATCCTTTTCTTTAGGCTTCTTATCCCTTTCTTCCTTATGTTTTGCTTAAAAGTCAAATAAAATGAAAGATTTTAAACTAAGTTACGATTACAATTTCGTTAAGAGGTGATGTCACTATCTAACTTACATTTCTCTTTGTCATGACGATGGCGATCCTTATCTTTGTCATGACGATGTTTTTCTTTGTTCGATGCATTATGCTTATCCTTGTCTTTTTCAGAAGAGCGCTGCTTTTCTTTGTCATTTGTATGAGACGTAGAATGCCTTTCTGACGAATGTTTTTTTTCCTTTTCCTTGTCTTTTTCCTTATCTTTGGATATACTTTTGTCTTTATCCTTATCCCGAGAACTTGAACTCAAGCTGTGTTTATGTTTATCCTTATCCCTATCTTTGTTCTTGTCTTTGTCTTTTTCTTTATTAGAATTCTCTTTATCCTTGGAACTACTATGATGCCTGCGATAATATATTGTTTTGTTTGTATAAATGAAACAACAAAAAGTAACATCTTGAACTATAATACAAAATTATTTTTTGTACCTGTCCTTATCCTTGGAACTGGAACTAGATTTGTGATGGTGTTCCCTGTCCTTGCTCTTGTCTTTCTCTTTCTCTTTGCTTGAGGAACTACTACTTTTATGTTCCTTATCCTTACTCGAGGATGAGCTACTCTTTTTATCTTTATCCTTGTCTTTGTCTTTGTTACTGCTGTCATGTTTATCCTTTTCTTTAAAAGAATTGGAACTATGTTTGTGTTTGTCTCTGTCCTTATCTCGGTGTTCACTTTTATGATTTCTATCTTTCTCCTTGCTCCTTTCCTTATCCTTATGTTCGGATTTATGAGATCGCTCTTTATCTTTGTCCTTATGCTCAGATTTATGTTCTCTTTTCTTATCGAATCCATTAGACATACCATTTGTGTGGGCATCTGAAAATATTACAATATACATATAATTGTTTCATTTGCATTTAAAAATATCCATTTGAAAAATACACTATTCTGCATATTATTAAAACAAAATATTTGCTTATAACATGTTTCTTAAAATCTGAAACAAATGATATTTGCATTGTTTTATTTATTTTTTATGTTATTAAAACTGAAAATATTTGTTCAAATGTTCAATGTGGATTAATTTTTAAATACTATTATCTATTTCTGTTTTTTACGATTTTTCTGGAACATACTATTTCTGATAAACATCAGTTGATAACAAAATTCTCGTAGAATTGCAGAAAAAAAGAGAAAGAAGCGAACGATTTAAAAATTGAAAAATCTCGATGTATAGAGCGGAAAAAAGTGGCGATTCAAAAAAAGAAACGATAATAAAATTTGAATTGCAGAAAGTAGTAAGTAGTTCGAACGCTTGGCCAGAGTCGAAACACGTGTCAGACCGGTCGGGTCGTTGGCAGCCCCAACTCTGGCTCGTCGCGTCGAACTTAACATTTGCTGTAGCAAAGTTCCAATCTCATCTATGTCAGAGTACGTATGTTTAACTCCACGAATAAAACGCTTACCGTTGTGATTCCCAGTCGTATTGCTGTTCTCCTTCACCTTTCTTTCCTAAAAACAATCAAATTTCCATAAAAATCCTATTATAATAAGAGCGACGCATCGTATCTAAGCGTTCACTCTTCTATCGGACTTAACGTCTGGCCGATTGAAGCGAGCCAGGTAGGACTTAGTCGCCAGACGCCATTTTGGGACTTAGAAAATTTCGCGTCCGTGGCTATGCCGTGCGTCCAAGAGCAAAGCGATAATACGGGGCGAAATATCGAAAAACTATGCACGTGGGAAAACGCAACGTAACGAATAAATAAGAAATAGTCACTTACTAAGTCGGAATTCGACTGCGTTGTTTGCTGCTCGAGCTCCATTTCTCGGTACGAACGCGACTGATAGACTCTGGCAACGCGAGGTCTAACAGAAGCGAGGGAAGTAAAGAAGGACTGGGGACACGCACACCAGAGTTGCTCGCTACTCGACTATACACTCCGCGCGAGACTGCAGGCCGAGCCTACGCTTAGACTGTATAGGAAGCTCCCAGTCTAAGTATCGAAAATATCTAACTGCGCATGCGTTTCTTTGCTCCGCCTCTTCGATCCCCGGTAAAACTCTTTGCCCCGCAATCCGTAACTGTTTATTCCAGTTTATTCGGTCATGTTCCGTTTCAACAATGTTGGTTATAAACGTAACTGATACGATTTCCGAATAACGCATAAGAACAAATATTTTACTAAAATAGAGATTCAGAGTGGTTTCTCCATTGATAAAAAGTCACATTAATTTTGAAGGACTTCCAGGCTTTATTCATGCGTCAGAAGCTTCGACTTAGGGCATCGTACGCTCGTAACATAAAATCGAAGAGAATCGAGAGGAATCGAAGCTCATCGCGTGTGCATGGGCAAGGACAAATCATTTCGCACAAGTTTCACGAATTAAATATTAACTTCGCGATGGCGCAATAAAGTCTCTCGGTGGTTATTGCCATGAAGTTCTTGGTATCATTTTTTTATTCTATGAAAAAAGAGTGAAGTAATACATTAGTACAACGGCGGTGTACATTAATAGCGGTTTTTATTTACTTTTTTTTTCTTATAAAAACTAAAATAAACAATACATCTTGACTTTCTAATACATGTCAAAATTTCATGTTTTCTTTTTCTTTTCTTAATTCATAGATGTACCTAACACAAGTTTTAGGTAGATACATTTCTTGTCTTAGATAAATACACTTAAAATTATTAAACAAATAAAAATGTGTGTTAAATACTTTATACAATCATCTTATGTTATTATACAAGCGACAGTACTGAATTGTCAAATTTCAACTTTATGTAAACAGCGATCAGACTCTATAAACAATTTATATAAGTCATATTTTATACAGACAGTTATACAGATGAAAATTTATAATAGATTCGATTATTATGCGTGATGTATTATTGAAACTCATTAAAAAAAGATTATATAAAATATCACCGACTGTATACTATAGTTTTACATATGTGTAATTCTATAGTAACAGACTAGTTTGTACAATATAAAGTCATTGATCATAATTTTTTTTTAAACTTGTAATTTCTAAACTATTCCTAATTTTTAATTCCTAACGAGCTCCTAATTCTTATAATTTTACATATTCTGGCTTTCCTTCGCTATTCCTCACCATTTTAAGCTTTTGAAAGACGAATACAGCATACAATGCTACAAAGGAACAAAATAATTAACATCACGATAATAGTTGTTAAAGTTTTCACATAAATCAAGAAGAATTATTCTTTATACTAACAAGTAACTTCCCATTCCGCTCCAGACAGAGTACCGACTTTACGATGATTTGGTATATTTTGCATATACTGTATAACATGCTGATAATCTTGCCCAGGTTGGCCAAGAAGCGGTACCCCATGATATGGTGGATAAGTTTCTAAAGCTTGCATTTTACTAAGTAATAATTTGCCTTCGTCTTTCATACGTTCATAATAGTTCTCAAATCTATAATTAAAGGATATAAATCTTTATTGTGTACATCTCTAAATATATTATTTAATTAAAACTTTCTTTACCTTTCGAATGTCACTAATTCTAAACCATATTTTGAAGCTAATTTACAAAACGTAGGTAAATGAACAAGAAATTCTGGGCAATTCACGACACCTTCTAGGTGAAAACTGTATTTAGCTCCAAAAAGAGGTGGTTTCACTTTGTCGCATAGAAATTCTATGCTATAAATATCATTTCCAATCTTGTTACTATTGCATTTTTGCCACCTAGAACTGATTAGGAGAAACAATATTTAAACCGATTTTAGTCAAATTTAAGATGAAGGCTATAAAGTGAAGATATCGTTCGTGGGATATTAAAAAATAAACATACACTAGATCATATGCATCTGGAATAGTCCCAATAAAGTAACCTCCTGTTCTAAGACATTCGCTAGCATTTTTTATCATACATTCTGCTTGTGGTAATGTTTCAAAGCTATAATGGAATGCAAATTGGCAGCTGACCAAATCGAGTTGCACACTGGCATCCTTATATTTTTCTCTTAATTGGCCCTGAAACTCTTCTTTATAATCAACTTCCATTTACAAATTGTATAATAAAAGTATATACAATCATTCTCAATATTAACAAATTATTAATTTGACTTTATATTTAAATACATTAAATATATATTAGTAGTCATGGGCTCAGTCAAACAAACTTATCTTGAGCGCTTTCTTTTAAAAAAAACACTTGCTAATTAATTCATGCAATGCACTAAAAAAGTCAAATTTCTTAAAGATGTATAAGATATCGGGAACAAATACCTTGGTACAATCTGCTACTATAAATTCAGCAGTGAAAATAGGATCAAATCCACAGTCATTGGAACTTTTATTCACTAATTCATTATATCGATTTTGGCATTGATCAACAGATATTTTAGCCAAATCAGTGCAAATAACGTGCGTTACATTTCCTTTCTTCCATTTAAGTAGATCTCCTCCCTTCCCACAACACATATCTAATACCTTTAAAGAAGATCCATGCACTTTATCCTGTTTAACCTTATCAATATATTCAGCTGTAAATTAAGTTTCTATTGTTATAAGTTGCAGAGAATAAATCATTTTTTATGCATACGTATACACAATGAGTCACAAAACTATTCATACTTTCTTAATTACTGATTTTCAATGATATCATTCACATTGAAACTTTAATTCAATAGACTTTAGACTTAATTTTAAAATCAAATGAGCTGTCTGAAATCCACAATTAAGGGGATATAAATACTTCTGTAGTTCATTGTATATGAATAAAAATCTTACATATAAGCATGCTCTTAATCCAATTATTGAAATTTCTCATATATAAGATGCGACTTTGATTTCTGCACGATAGTCCTTTGTCTTCTATCATGTTATAATGTTCTGCAATTAATTGTGTATTGTCAGTATTTGCTTCCGATTTACATGGTTCTTCCTTTTCTCTACTGCTGCCAGAAGATAGATCTGAAGGAGTATTGTTAAGCTGCAATTTATAAATTATATATTCAATTAAAAAAAGATTATTTGATAGACGAAATATATACTCAAAGAATATTATGTTTTGCTACCTTAGATGATTCTGGGTCTGGAGACCCAGCTATTCTTCTTTTTTCAGGTTGTATACAGCTGTTGTCATTTGTATCAGGTTCACGTTCCTTCTTTAAGCTGGACGTTTGTGAACTTGTCTCAGGTGATTTCTTTACAATACTACTTTGCTCTGATGATGATGCGTCTTGTTTTTCTTTGGCCTCCTTTGTTGCATCAAGACAAGGTGCAGACATTTCGATGTAGGAGACAATTTTATGATAATATGAAATCAACTTTGCGTATTATCTTAATGAATGCTTGCGTACGCTAGCGGATGTTGCACTATAAACACACTTATACAAATCATCACAATAATCCAAGTTCAAATAAAAACAAACCTCTTGCAAGAAATCACGCACGCTATACTATAGAGTCGGTGGTGCTTACAGTTCTTCGACATTGCTTTATTTCCAATGTAACGAACCGGTATTACCAATGCTGACAACGTGATTTATATTTCACGAAAATACCCTACAATTTATAAAAGTAAGCTAAATACTTTCTTCGCTAACATAAATTAATTCGTGAAATTTACATGTGAAATTTACTAATGACAATTATGTAAACAATATGAACGATTTCATTTTTTTTTTCCATAAGAGCTATTGTAATTTTGAATTAAAAAATAAAGGAACACGTTCGATACAAATTATCTGACGTAAAAATAAATGTATCTACATAATGGAATATATTCTGCGCGTATGTAGTCCGTTAGGTTTTTATGAAAAGCATTGGAGGCGTCAATAATAAAATTTATTAACTGCTTATAAAAAATTGATTCAAATTGGAATGAAAGTTCATTATGTTTATTTACAACAGTGCTGCCAAGTATTTGAGTTTAAGAATATCTTGCGATAGCTTTAAAGTCGGCAGCAACTTTATCCAAACCTGTACCTGTAACACTTAAAGAAATGAATCGAGTATTTCATCGTTGCGAGAATATTTTGCATTGTTTGACAGAGAATTTACATGTTATATTAATATAGCTTTAATCTGTGAAGTTGGTAAGTGGACATTGAATTTCTTTAACGCACACTACGCGGTCTCATCTATTATCTGATCTAGATTTGTTATGTGTATGTATTAACGGCATCCTTATCTAACAGCTTATCTAAAATTCAATAAGAAACCAAGATAAACAATAGTATTTTACTTTGCTGTCAGTAAAAATTATGGTTTCTCATTTTTTTCCAGGTATTTAAAACATCATTTTTGTAAAATTTATTTAAACTATTAAACATTTAAACAAAATTATTTATTCATAGAGTGAACTTTGCATGTATCGCAAGACCATGGATACATTTCCTACGCAAAGGTATGAAACAAAGATCGAATCCTTTGACACATGCATGATCGATGCTACGAACCAACAGAGAGAAATACCTCAAACAGTGAGTGGACAGGTTCCTCCTCAGACTGTCGAAATAGAGAATCAAGAAAATCATGAAACACCTACTTTACATCAACAACAAGAGTCGCAGCAACATCAACAAGAACAACCTAATCAAATGAATCAGATTCAATCCAATACTCAGCAAAGCATGACTCTTACTCCAATTCGATTACCAGCCATTCTCGATGGAGAGTTTTTTACAGTAATTAGAGTGGAAGATACTAATGTTACAGTTCGATGTTTACAGTGTCAAAAGCACTTAAATGGAAATTTGAAATCAACAGGAAACTTTTTAAGTCACATTAAAGTAAGATATCATAGCTTTAGGCTCTTTAAATTTTAATTTGATTATTTCATGTTTATTAATTTAAGTGTTCTATAGAGGGTACATCCTTTCATGGTTGATAAAATTAAATGTAAATCTAATCAAAGGAAACCTGCAATGGTATATATTGACTTATCAGCTGACAAATGTCCAGAACTAGTCAGAACAAAACGAGGATATAGAAAATGTTATAAAACGGTAAGTAAATTATTTGTAAATTTATTTTCATAAAATATGAATTGAAGTTTTGTTAAAGTACAAGGGTTTATTTATCTAGGAGGAATGTCAAGCAGGAAACGAAGAAACATATGATCAGCCTAATGAATGGACGGAACCTCCGTTAATTCGTAGGCGCAAATCAGAGGAAACTGAATCTACTGATCTTTTAAAAATATCACATAACAATTCATTTGTAATGGAAGATGAATTTGATGCGATTGGACGAAATGTAGCAGCAAAACTTAGAAATATGAGACTAGACCAAAGGATTATAGCTGAAAAATTATTAAATGACATTCTGTTTGAAGCGCAATTGGGAAACCTTCATAGAGATTCTAATATACATGTATGAGAAATGAATTTTCCTGTCCAAAAAGCACGCGTGTGTAAGTGAACGATGTGAATATAATTGAATGGGTGTATAAGAAAGCATATATTTTTTATCAAGTCAGATTTATTTACATTTCTTTATGAATGTTATCTTATTACACCACTGTAATAACAGTAATTTCAAAGTGGTTTTTTTCTGCTAAGATAAACAGCCAGATATAATAATGTGATGTAATTGTGGATATATTTTCTAGTTAATTTCACTAATGCCGTGATAGTAAATGATTTCTAATGAACCATTATTCAAATATTACTATGAAATAAGTATTTGAATTCAATGTATACAGTCTTCAGCAATGAAAACACAGATTGAGATATATATATACATATATATATTTTAATACTTATAAGTATTCATATAGGAATCTAGATGTATTTCTGTATATAAATGCATAGTACTGTAAATATTACTGTACAAGTATAAAATTCGCAGATAAGAAAAAATGCTGCCGAATATAGTAACTATTTGTAAAAGTTTTTTAGACGGATCATTTTTCTATAAATATTACATAAATATAGCTACCTGTAATTTATAGTAATGTATGATAAATACATTTTTAACATATTACCTAACAATGAATAATCAGTCCTCATTGTATCTAACATTACGTAAAAACATTCTATTGTAAATTGTAATTGTATCAACTACTCTATTGCCTTGTTACTAAGTAACAATTTTCTAATATGTCTACTTTGTAGATGAACAAAGTTCGCATAAATACGAAAAAAGATAATGTTAATGCAATATTTGGAAATAGATTAAAGCATTTATAAAATCACATTTCAATGAATCGTTTACCATGAAATAGTCTTAATTGTTTGTCAACTGGTATATACCCTACGCTTCTTTGGCTTAAGTAAAGCACAATAAATTGTAGTTGATAGAATACAAAGTGTCATACTTCCAAAAATTACATAAAATACATAACTATACCAAAATCCATCCCAATCTGCATACATATACCATGCTAATGTTAGAAATGTATTTTGTAGTATTACAAAAAGATAGTATGGTAACATCCACTTGTCTGCATACTTAAATTTGATTCTATACTCGATCAAACTAACTATATAGACTAATCCCAACCATAAATTAACAAAAAAAGTAATGATATCATAATATTTTGCATAGTAAAAAAGGTATGTCAACATGATACCATAATGTATGCCAAGCACAATACATAAATAAAGTGGATAAAATTCATAGAATACAGCAATAGCAAGTATACGTGCTAAAATGAAAAAGAACCACCACAGAAAGCATAGAAATTTGCCAACAGGATCATCTTCTTCTAAACCTTTCTTTGTATATCGGCGTTGTGGAACTTTTAAAGTTTGCGCACTGTCTAGGTTTTTATTTGATTCTGCAATAGACACTAGTCTGGTAACTACTTTCTCAGATTCAGGATTTGTGCAAATAGAATCTGGTCTTGGTGGAGCTGGCACGTCTGGGACAAGTAATGGTGCAACTATGGTTATTCCACGTAAAGGAGTTGGAGGTGGTACAATGTGCACATTTTTTGGTGGTAATGGAGGTGTTACAGACACTTGACGATCTAAAGAGATATGCTTATCAAATTGTTCCTTATTCTCATTTTCTATTTTCATAGATTCTTTGTGCTCTTCAGGTTCTTCTACAGCATCTATTGTTTGCACAGTATCTTCCTCCTTTATATCTGATAACTTTAATGGAGCTCTTTCTTCAAGATCACAAAGTTCCTGATTATAAAAGTTAAATATGTATTTTATACGAGTAGATTATTTTGACATGACAAGCATAGAATGTTTCATAATAAAATACCTGAGCACAATATTTTTTTAACCACATTGCCCATGGTAATTTTCTACCATTAATACGTTGGCTTTCAAATCTTTGAAAAGAAGTAGTTTGAATAGCCAGTATCACAATGGACATAACAATAGAAAGCACTTTTATAACCACTATAACAAGATAAGGTCAATCATTAAAATTGGCATATTTATAAAGTAATTTCAATTACACTGTGGATAATGTAACCAAAGTACCAGATTGATGACTTTGATGAAGTGATGATTCATGAAAGAGTAAGTGCGTTTGGAAAATTGCTTGAGGAGCTGCTTGAAACCAAGCTTGTAAGAAAAAGTACAATTCTATAGCTGCAGGATCAGCTGCTATGTTTAAAGTCTTTGTTCTCTCATTCCCAGATAAAATAATAGCATCCACAGATAGCACTATGAGACCTGCATACCTAGAAAAGCATTGTTAATTAAAGAAGCGAAAACTATTAATATTTTTATTGATATTGAAAATAAAATGGTAATACCTATAGAGTGAAAAAAAAACAAAGCCAACCAATTGACAAAATTGAAGGCAAAACCAAACAAGTACACCCTTGGTCAGTTTATCATCATCTGTCATCCACCAATCTGGCCTCGAAACAGTTAGCATAAAGTATGTAATTGCCGGTGCATACATAAAACTAATAGTACAACATCCCCATACAGGATTATTTTCTTTGAAATGTTGTACAGCAACTACTAGGTCAGCGGAGAAATGAACTATGTATGTAACACAAGCAATCAATGTTGGGATTAAGAAGACCAAATAAATTTGTTCAGTTGATTTTAAAGGAATTTGTAGAAAACGAGTGGACTTTTTTTGACAAATTGAGTCTGATTTGCCTGCCATGTTTTGAGATCACATGAATTTTCTACACCATTTTATATCTTGTTAGTTTACATGTATTTTTCCAATACAGATGTTTATTTAAGTTTCTTGAAATAGTCATATATTTGGCTGAAATCAAAATCGTAAAATGCTACAACATGTCGAGTAAGAGATATGGTCATAAAATGATTTTTTATGTAACGAAAAAAAAAACAACTAAATGCTCTTTTAAAAGTTTATATACATTACCCAAATATCGTTGAAAATTAATTGCCCTCTTAATCACAAAAAAAAGATGCTTTGGCCATGAATTCCATTGCATAGATATATTACTAGTTGAAGATGTTACTTTTCAAAGTCATACGAAAATTTATTATCTTACGAACAATAAATAAAATTCAGGTATGCCAATACTATTCTTGAAAAAAAATGGTACAGAATAAAAATTACTGTAATCACGTTCGGATTGACACGCGGAATTTAAAACTAAATACCAAGATCAGATGTAGCAAGTGCGTATAGATTGAAATGATTAGTCAGCGTGTGAAATGGAGTAGATAATTCGATAAGATTCCATTTTACTAAAACGTGATAAAGCGTCTTCAGATATGGACGCTGTCTGAGCGAATTGCTTCAGAAAGGACAATCATTAAACGTGGATGGTGGGGAGGGGGGAAGGAAATCCTTTCTTTATGTATGGGAGAAACGACGATTACACATGCGTACTGTAAATACTACGGTATAGTTGCATACAGTTGCATAATAATTATTCGATGATGCGGTTCGTTCACTAAAATTTTTGTTTTCGATCAAATAAAAGGGTACAAATTTCAAATAACTTCCAATTTTTGTATAAATATAATTTATTACAAAATGGAACTATAAATTAAACGATGGTACTAACTTGTTGTTATGTTAATTTATTTAAAATGAAAATACAATTTACATTATGTTGATAATTATATTTGTCATCACTCCTTAGCCTCATTTTCAATTTCATTGTTTTTCTCAACAGGTTTGATGGTATTCAAAATTATATTGTATTGTTCCATAAGGTCTACTGTGCCTGTTTCATTATTCTTATCATCATAATCAGGACCAACTGACCATAATGTTTCTAGATCATACAATTCTCTGGCTGACTTTGAAAAAATATGTAATGCAATGTTCCCTAAAAAATAAAGAGAATGGATATTAATATCCAATTACTTTATATATTAACATATCATGAAACTTAAACACAAAGTATATGTACCTAAATCTAAAGCTATCCAATCTTTACAATTTGACCCTTCAATCTTTGGTATTATGTCTGTTTTGTGTCTTTTCAATTTATATACTTTACGTACAAAAGTAGCAAGGGCACTCATATGTTTGTTTGATTTGCCTGTTACTACAACCATGTAATCAATATAGGACAATTTAGGATCAACAGAAACTACAAAGATGTCTTGAGCATTATCCCTTTTCAATAGCGATACAAGGTCTTCAATTTCATATACACCTTTCACGCCACCTGATAAGTAATTTCATTATTACAATTTATTAAAGATATCTAATTTTTCATTGGTTTCAAATATCACGGGGACTTTAATATTAAATATATAATTGTAACAAATATAATAAATGACAGTATAGAATTGTTTCATTTAAACTTACGTTCTAAATTTAATCCCATATAAGGATCACGTTCTTCTACATCATTAATTAAATCTTCTAAATTAATTGTTTCTTGCTTTTCACTGGCATCGAGAATAATTTCTGCATCTTTGTCATCAAAGATCTTATAATTAGGCTTTACCGAACCAAATAGGTTATGTGAATCGTTTTGTATGTTTTCTTTGGAATTCTTTACATTATTAGTTGAAAATTGTTTAACTTGGTTTATCCGAGGATACGTTACTACATTATTAATGCGAGGTATGGAATATTCATATAACAATCTTCTTGTTCGGAATAGACTTGATAACAAACGATTTCGCATCTTGAACGAACGTAACAAACAAGGTTATGTTTATATTAAGTCATTCAAAGTTTCACAGCCTGTTTTTTTATACCTTCACGTGCATGTGTATTATTATTGATAAATTAAGTAAACATAACACACAAAAGCTAAGTTATATATATTTGTAAAATTATTGCATCCTTGTCAAAACATTAAATGTAAATGTAATTTTAATTTCATATAAGTATGGTAAGGAAACAAGAGTACTGTATATATTTTGAATAATCACTTTATTTAATCGTGCAAGACACGTACATTAATAAAATGTGACTCTCTATGTAGAAACAATGTACAGAAGTGTTAAATTGTTGATGTGATGACAATCAGATCGGCAGGATATTCTTGTGTCAGAACTGGTGTTATTCCTACAGCTGAAATAAATATTTTTTAAGGTTAATACATGAATTCTGTTTCAAAGTTTTATATTCTGCACAGATATAATGAGTTATCAATGTAAATATACTTCAAATGTATTCTAGAGAGAAATATCAGTCCTGCATTTGTATAAATTATCCAATACTGATATATTCTATTTAATGATGATACATCATTTCTAACTTAGGACTGATTTTTTTTTTCTTTTCAACATATACTAAATTTTAATATTAAAAATGAAGAGAGTTTATCTGTACTATAAAGATTAATTACTATATTCTACTGTTACTGACACACTATATAATTAAAGTGAAATGAATGGTAAAATACACTTACAGAGATCATGGATAAAAAAATTATTTAGACCTCGCACGCATCTTCCTCCTTTTACGCTTTAGCCTGCGCATCCTCTTCTTTCGCCACTGAAAATTTAAAGTAAACTTCGGTTAACCTCTCTTTGCATAATCTTAATCATCACTTTCTGTAAAACGTATGAAATACATAAAACCAGATTTCTTGATAATCGATAAGTGTTAAGCGTTTAGAAGAAGTCTTAAATGTATTGAAAGGAAACATTCTTGCGAACAAAATATTGCATTAACAACGCTGTGTCAAGTAACCACGCACATATGTAGTAGCCTTTTCAAACCGTAAGTTAGATACTTAAAACACATATAATAGTACATTTGTGGCAAGAAATATTGTGATTAATAAGAAATGTTAATAAAACTCTACCTTCGCTCTCATTTTGGATTAATGAGATTTCTAGATCACTCTAGAATATCTCGATTACTGCGGACCACAATGTCCTCGATGCCGCTGTCTTCTGTGACTTCCAAAACCAATATGGAAGAGAAGCGCTCGTTCCAGTCGAAACCCGGAAACGTTGTTCTTTGAAGTGCATGAATGTACGTCTAGAGGGCTGACAAATTTTTTATGCGCGCATTTCAAAACACGTATATGCATTAACCTAATTAATATAAAGCATACGTAACGAAATACACAAATTTTATTAACACACATCGTCTAGAATATTAAGTAATGCTTGTGTAATATTTTTTTTATGCATTAACTTGAACGAATGTGTTACATTTTATAAATACGATTATTCCCGCGCAAAATCCACGTTCGTTGTTTCGTTCCTATTTCATGCATTCCTTATGGTTAAGATTCCCTCCAATTCCCTCGGTTTCCCGCGTTTAAAGCAACTTCCCGCGAAAAGCCGCGACAGACTACACTTGTTGCGCGACATTGAGAGATAGTTCTTGGGTCAGTCTGTAATAAATAAATCGGGAAATTTATTTAACGATTTGACATTAACGAACTAACGTTAATAAGCGTTCAATTTAAAATACGTCAGAAGAATTTTGAAACGATTATATCGCGATAGATGAACGTGTTGTAGGTTAAAGAATAATACGGGAGATGTCAAAAAGTTTATATTAAAAACTTCGTTTATTAAGTGAAGAAAAAGTTTTTTGTGTAAAGAATCTATTTTTTACTTGACGATAAATCGAGTGGCTTAACAAAATTATATAAAAATGACGAGTATTCAAACGAAAATACCATTTAATATACGTAAAAAAAGTTCGTTTTATGGAATCAAAAATAACGTTACAAAGGAAGATTTTACTGACGCAACTGCTAGACAATCTTCGTATACGTATACTCCTAGAGTTAAAAAGATCATTACCTTGAGTAGTAGCGAATCGGATTCGGATTCAGATGTGGAAAATGCGTCGATAGAAAATAATGTGGAAATATGCGGTAAAGGTACTGTTGTTCGAACTCCACGTTGTATTCGAAAATCTGGCGAATCCGATGGTATGTATTTGAAACTTATTACTGTTCAATTTTTAAAATGTATACCTATTATGCAAGAAAATTTACTTATATTTATTTCAGTAAAAAATGGCTCCACACCCCCGAAACAAAAGAGGGTAGAAAAACCAACAACATCACCCTCTACGCCATCTTCACTTTTAGACAAGTTAAATTTAATATCCCCTGACAATGAGGATAAATTAATTCCTAAAAGATTGTTTGGTTCTGAAAAATACCGTAGTGCACGGAAGGCTTTACATAGTTCAGTACCTGAAACTTTACCTGGTAGAGAAGCAGAATTAGCTAAATTACAAGAATTTCTAGACGAGCATTTAAAAACTGAAAGTTCAGGTTCTTTATATGTCTCGGGACCTCCAGGGACTGGTAAAACAGCGTGTCTTTCAAAGCTTACTATGCAACCTAAATTTAAATCACAGTTTAAAGTGGTTTACATTAATTGTACAACCATGAAATCTGCTGTTGCTATTTATACAAAGATCATTCAGGAGTTGGGACTGCCTAGTGGAAAATATCCCAAAACTATCATTGAAAAATATTTGGTCTCCAAACATAAAATGTTACTCTTGATTTTAGATGAATTAGATCAACTAGAAAGCAAGAAACAGTCTGTTTTATATTCTATTTTTGAGTGGCCATCAATGCGTAATTCAAAACTACTTTTGGTTGGCATTGCTAATGCCTTAGATTTAACAGATAGGATATTGCCTAGATTACAAGCTAGATGTGAAATGAAACCAAAGTTGATGCATTTTCCACCATATTCGAAACAACAAATATGTGATATAATATCTAAACGATTAAACGAAGCAAAAGTACCTGATTTGTTTACTGGAACTGCAATACAGTTGTTAGCTGGAAAAGTTGCTGCTGTTTCTGGTGATATTAGAAGAGCACTGGATATCAGTAGAAGAGTAATAGAGCTTGCAGAATCACATAAGTTAGCTCAAGTTTTACAACCTACAAACAACAATGGTATATTTTATTACTTACTGTATGAATAAAATAGGAGTATACTGTATAATTCAATAGGAAAAATTGTTGTTTTCTATAAAAACTAATTTTTATTACAGAGTCAAATACTGGTAGTCCTAAAAAACAACAACCTTCACCAGAGAAGCCAGCAGATTTAATGGATGTCATTAAAGTTTTAAACGGTGTTTATGGAGGATCTCAGAATATTGAAAAAGAAGAAAGTACGTTCCCTTTGCAACAAAAATTGTTATTATGTTCTTTCTTACTTATTTTAAATAAAGGACGAAACAGGGATGTAACTGTGGGAAGAGTAAGTTCACAAAAACACAAATATATTTGCAAGTGAAAATTTAATTACAGTTTGTATCATCAGAAACATATTTTAGCTGCACGAAGTATACAGGAAGGTCTGCAAGAAGCGAAATATCCATGCTGTCGATAGTTCGGAATTTGTAAGTTTATGCTCACTGATAGAAACTAGAGGTATTTTAAAACTGACAATTAAAAAGGAGCCTCGTTTATCGAAAGTTAGTTTGGAATGGGATCAAGAAGAATTGGATGCTGCTTTACAAGACAAAAATATGATGGCAGAAATTATGAATGATGTAACTTGTTTATAAACATGTTTATACAAATTTACGTTACGTTATCAAGCAGTGTTTAATGTCAGAAGGAGTAGTATATTTTTATAACAATACGTGACAAAAATTTCATAATATGTAAATTACGCATGAGCGTGTTTATTTTTTTTTTCTACAATTTATTGATTGTTTAATCTCGTTTATTGTTTGCGACGGATGCTGTTTACACAGTAATTTATTTAGCACGAAAGCATTATCCAAAGTTTAATCATTATAAAGTGTTAAACTTCCGTAAATTTTTTCAAAATATTATTTGTATTGAAGCAAAATGCGTTTTCGTTTAGTATTTTATTTTGACGAGTACTTTGTTATTTATATTTTTAAATAAATGCATCATACTTTTAATTTTAGTTCTTGTTATTTCAACCCATTGACGCGTAGGAAAGATAGACGTAACGTTTGTCTGTCACTTATATGCAGAATTGTGAATGACTTATGATAAGTTCCATCATAATGCTTAATTGTTACTTTAATTAAATTTTATCACATACAGACATGCGCAAAAATTCAAATATAAATGGTGCGCGTAGAACTGCCATCTTCTGGCAAGCGTCACGTTTGTGAAAGCGCTCTTCATGCCCTGAATCCTTGAGTGCTTGAGTATTCTGGTGTGTTCTTTTCGAAAGGGTAGTAGTGAAAAGACTTGAAATTATGTCTTCGGTACTTGTGCCTGAAATTCCTGCACCTGGATTTTCTTTTGACCTTTGTCAAAGGTAACTTATTGTTAAAATAATTGTATTATTTAAGAAAACTCGTACCAATGGCATATATAGCGGTGACGCCGAAAAATAATACTTCACCGTACATAACCTATTGCGGGTTAATACTGCTGTGTCATTTTTTACTAATATCTATTTTTCTTGATAGAGTCATAAAATTGGAAAGAATGACAAGAATTATCAAACATTACTTTGTACGTTTTTTCTAGAAATAACTTTATGGTAAAGAAAGGGTTCCAACCACCTAAAGCTGTTAAAACAGGAACAACTATTGCTGGAGTTATTTTCAAGGATGGAGTGGTTCTTGGGGGTGACACAAGATCAACAGAAGATACCATAGTTGCTGATAAAAACTGCAGCAAAATTCATTTTCTTGCAAAAAATATATAGTGAGTATAATGAAATTGACATTAATTGTATATATAATAACTGTTTACAATAACATTGACCTCACCAATTTCAATAATATTGTATGTTGGAAAGAATATGTCATTGTGTGCCCTAAAGCATACAAATATTTGTAACAGTAACAGTACTATGTTGAAAATAAAATCAGACAAGGATAGACTATTACTTTTTGTTTTAGAAGCTTTTGAAATTAGTAAGGTTGGTGCTATTGTAAGCAATTACCATAACTTTTTTCATACTATTAGATAACAGACAATTAATAGACTATCATTTTGAAGTTGCTGTGGTGCAGGAACTGCTGCTGATACTGAAATGACAACTCAGACAATATCCAGCCAATTAGAGTTGCATCGTTTAAATACTGGTCGTACAGTACCTGTTTGCACTGCTAATGCAATGATCAAACAGTTATTGTTCCGTTATCAAGGCCACATTGGAGCTGCTTTGATATTGGGAGGTTGTGATTTAGATGGTCCACATTTATATTGTATTTATCCTCATGGATCGACAGACAAGCATATGTATACTACTATGGGATCAGGATCATTAGCTGCCATGGCTGTATTTGAAAGTAGATGGAAACCTGATATGACGGTAAGAATGCATACAATTTTGACATATACGTGTCATTTATAGACAACAGTTACATTTCATGTTAAAATATGTTTAGGAGGAGGAAGCTAAAGAACTCGTAGCAGATGCTATTCGTGGGGGTGTGTTTAATGATTTGTGTTCCGGTTCTAATGTAGATCTATGCGTCATACGTAAGGGTTCCGTAGATTATTTACGACCTTACGACGTTGCTAATGTAAAAGGACAGCGTCAAATATCTTATCGATACAAGCGTGGCACTACAGCTATACTTAACAAAACAGTTCGTCCTATAATCGTAGAGGAGGAAAGTATTCGTAGAATTGCAGAAGAACCAATGGATACTTCATCTTGAAATGCGCATAAATTCGTTCTAAATTTAATTTCAAATGATATGTGAAGTTTTAATAAATAAAGTCTTAACTATGATATTTGAAGTTACAGGTATTTATTCTTTATGTTTTCTCGCTTAATGAATTTAATTTCAAACAATAAAATACAAGAAATATGGTGTGATAATATTAAAACGACTATCATACAAATTTTATTATAAAAAGAGGAGGATTCATAAGTTAGAAGAGACCCGCGGATTGCTTCAACCTTTGTCGTTTCCAAGCAGGAAGTTTGACAAATTCATCAGGTTCCATTTTAAAAATCGTAATAAAATTATCAAAAGTGAGATGCATCTCTTTGCGAGCAACGTCAACGCCAGACGGTAAATTTTCTGGTTCGTTTTTCAACACGGAAAGAGGATATTTCACATAATTATCGAAATCACTCGATGACTTTGAGGACGGTTGTATCTTGGTTATAGATTCTTTATCTTGCAGAAGCGTATAAAACGTTTCAAATGATTTATAGTCTCTTAGGAAATTGTAATTCCAATTGTCAAAGAGTCCTATAAATGTTGAAGGTTCCATTCCTGGAAAAGAAGTTAGTTAATTTTCTTACAGTGTAAGTTCGGACATTGAATTTCTTACAAGTGGGCAATTCGAAATACCTTGTTTAATAACAGAAATGATTGTATTTCGATCTCTACTAGCTGGATGAGTGTAAAGAAATATCATAGCGTTGTGTACGCATTCTCTCAATGATTTAGGATTTGAAGACTTTCCAATCCAGATCCATATTATATTTCCAGCATCTAACAACCAAATTGCCTCTGGGAGAAGGCTATTCTGTCCAAATCCAAGTACTTCTTCTCCAACGAACGTTTCACATTCCGTTTGACATTGGTACAAATGTTTTTCAAGCTCTTCGCCGATGTCGACGGTTTCCGTACCATAAGTGCCTTTACCTTATGGTTAAATGTTTTAAAACACAATAGCGAATTTAAGTACATGAAATTTTCTATGTAGAAGTTTATAATTCGATACTGCACTCGTGTAAACTTCTTACCTCCGAGTTCTGCCCAGAAATCGCTGTCTTCTTTATTTTCTATCATCAGAGGCGCGTTTCTAGGTGCAAGACGTCGAGACGCTTGCCTAGCGTCTCCGGTACTTCTACCTCCGCACCATACTACAGGCATATCAGAGAAGAGAATAAACACTCCGCTGGAATCAAGACTGCTAGCTCTCAAAGGACGTTCCACCGCTTTCGACGTGTAAGGTGTAGATCCAAAAACTCTGACGAAATATTTTTCCGGCGCTGTGGAGTGAATTGTTCAATAATAAAATTCAACTTAAGAATACACAGTATACCGATAAAAAGTTTACGTTACTCACGAGAATCACGATGCTTTCCAGCTAGTATTTTTAATTTTCCATCATAAATTTGCAGCAAATGAGGCGGTTCTCTACCCTGGCATGCTTTCACTAATTGAGCGGCGGCATCTTCCGATAAACGACAAGCTGTTTCCAACGCAGCCTCTCTGTCCACCTTTATGGAATGAACTCCTTCCCAACAGTACACCTGTAACGTATCCATCTATTAAATCTTTATTGTTGAAAGGTAATGCTACTTTGCGCAATGGCACAGACTAAACACACAAACAAATTCATGATTTAATATCGAAAGCTGTATTTTCCTACGTAGACGTACGATGGTTCTGCTCCTGCGACCCTGGCCATACTTGTAACACATCACGTAGCAGGCCTCCGCATAGTATATCCCTTTGTCTTCGACTTGGACCATTCCCTCCTTGCGAGTTACCCTCCAAAGAGTTCTTTCGCCGGTTCCGTCGTCCACCAGTTGACACTCGGCAGCCATTCTGGGTCTCTCGTTCATGTAATCGGGTTCAAAATTCGGTGGTAACGTGAGCGGCCTCATCTTCGATGGTTCCCAGCCTCTGACGAGAGCCTTCATTTCAGTAGGTTCGCAGGCCTCGAGAGCTCTACCAACGGACACGCCGTTGCTGTAGTTCTTCTTCTTCACGAATCCACGCGCGTTGCGAACTGCTTCCAGCTTCTCTCGGGCATTCACGTTGTGTCCAACCCATGCCCAAACACCCGCCTCGCCGCGATCGATCAGATAAACAGATTCGGATGTGAGATCCGACCGGAGAATCGGTCCAGATTTTAATTCCGCCACCTTGTATTTACCGGACTGTTCGCTACACCTGTATAGCTTGACAGGGCTTGGCGTGTTGACTCTGTGGGGACGATCGGGTTGCACGACTCTCGTAGACGGATCCAAAATGCTGGCAAAGAGTTGCCGGTCTCCGTTCGGTAGAGTCTGCTCGTAACCGTCCTCGACGATGACGATGTGACCATTGTTATTTTCTTTTCTAGCTTCTAGTATGTTTATCGCGTGTCGCTTGTGTAACGGGTCCGCTGTTGATCCGAGCCAGAGGAAAACGATGCCCCTGTTTTAATAGGATCACACAATTCTCGTATAGTTAATTTTTAAGAAATATATAAATGAAAAATCTGTAATAAAAAGTAACCGCACTGATCCCAGTTGGTGGCACGATACGTACTTGGATATAACGTCCACGAGGATAACGTCCCGGGAACTGAAATGATCCCAGTGAACTTTTTCAAGTTCCGTTAGCACGGGTACCCCGACTCCGGTGACTCGGTGCAACGAGCAAGTCGGTGCTTCGAAATGAAAGTTCTCGATAACGAGACGCTGCCGAAAATACGCCAGGAATCTCGGACTTTCTCGACCTTGCGCTTCTCTCAAGAGGATCGTTGCGGTCACCAGAGAATCCAGTTCGGCCGCGCGAAGAGCAGCTGCGCCGGAAATCGCGGAGTCGCAAGCGGAACCGATCCAAAAATGTATGACGCGGACCACCGGTGCCGATTTCAGGTCTTTAACCTGCAACGATAATTTCAACGAAATTAACCACTTAACGCTTCGACTTCGAATATATCAAAGATATGACCAGATTATTATGTAGATACGTCAAAGTGGATAACGGATGTTAAGCGATTGAAATTGCCACATTGCGAATTAAAATGAAAATTTTACGGGAGAAGCATTTTACTATTTTAAAGGAACGGTACTCTGTTTGCGAACGACATATCTGCTTTCTCGCGTGAGACTAATAGAGGTAGAAATACGTCGTTTAGCATGATAAAAGAGCTATATATGTACAATAAAAGTAAAATTGACATTTTTTTCTCTAGAAGTGGTACGTACCACTTACCTTATTCGAGAAATTTCCGTTTCTGAGTTTTAGTTCAAGGAAATTGTACGAATAGTATTGGCGAGGATAAAATCTGATAAATATAATATATTTGTTGTAAGAATGTCAGAAACAATAAGGAAGATTAATGTTGAATTAATTTTTAATTTTGTTGGAAACGGAAGTTCGTCTAAATATTTTCAATTCATTATTTTACTAGGAAGGAATTTATTCTTCGGTCGCAACGCGTATTTTGTAACGTTTTATGACGAAGGAAATGCCGAACGTTGCGAAATAGATAATAGAAGAAAATTACCGGCATCCCAGGATAAGGGAGTGGACCGTCTTTCGGTGACACTGCGTAGATAATGTATGCCAATTCCGAGAGGAAATATCCCATATTACTTCCGGTGACGGCTGCAACTCGTAAACCCTGTTGCACATACATTGAAAGGTAATTTTGTATTTCGTACTTTCACTCTTTGTGTTTCTCAATCTGTAGAAAAGTGGCATGCGACACGTTTTAAAACTGAGTGAGTGTTTTTAATACGAAAAAAGACTAAAAAATTAGTATCTATTAGGTGGACTGGAAAGTAATGTCGTTTTTGCAATTTTAAATACTTGTTTATCACTCATCAGCTCATTGATTTTTACCGATCTGGCATTCAACATTTGCGCACAACATAGCAAAAGAGTGTTGATAACGAGGACGATTAATTAAAAATAGAAATATATTAAAAACTTGTTCGAACTTAATATAAAAGAAACGATATTACTTTTCAGTCTACCTAATATTTGGTTTAAATATCTTTAAAAAGTGTATCGTTTTTTAAAAGCAAAAACAGTACCTCGATTTTCCAAATGCGAAACGTGCTGCTGTTCTTCGGGACATTTTTGAAGATTTCGCCGTTGGAGTCGTCGGAACGGGAGCTCCTGTCGTCCTGCGGCAGATCAGCGAAATTATCTATGAAAATTATCATTCCAGTCGAGGCGCTTACGTTAATAACTTTTGAACGCGAACGACGCTGCGATAAATACTCTTTTATTTCGAGTAAGCCACCGTACGCTTTTCCGTTCTTTTATACGCCATTCTATCTTTTTATGCTGCTATAAAATTTAGACCGTATCGTTATTATCACAGACTTTAATTTCCGGGCTTTTATACCGAGAGTAATTTGGTCGTTCCAGGTGTAAAACTCCTATTAAGACCCACGATATCGAGTAAAAAAAAATGCGAAACAATCGATTAACAAAATTACGACAATCAAGATAACTCTTGCAATTAAATTTATACTACTCGTTTCGCGCGTCGAAGCGCAACGAACGACAGAGATGGGCAAAATTTTACTCGGACAGTAGACGTAGAGATTTCTTCGTCACTTTTATTCGATTCGACAATTACGTTTTCGTTAATGAGAATTCTAATGTACACGCCACATTAATTGGATACTGTTCGCGGTGTACACGCTCCGATTACCAGCTAAACATACATAAATTTTACAGTTACATTTTTATTTCACCACCGTGAAACATTTCATTCCGTGATTCAAACATAAGCCTTATTTTGTTCGAACGATGGATAAAGCGTACAGATATATTTACGGCGAAACAAAATATTAATATCAATATCATATGCATCACTTCGTGAAATGTATTCGGTGTACGTTTCGTTACCTCGTAAATTCACAAAATTCAGTCTGATCCTTAATATTACAACACGCAATCTTTTGTTCGTTATTCGAAATTTGTAACCGGGATAAGAATGAATTGTATCGTTCCGCGAAATAAATTCTGCATCCGTTTCGCCACACGCCACGAACGCGTATATTCCACAAGTCCGTTTGTAAATAATACGATCTTTGCGATCGTTTATTGAAGATTTATAATTAGATAAGAATTTTGCCCATCTCCGGTCGAAAACCAGTGTGCCGTTACGACGATTCACGGGGCACCGCGTCCTTCTCGTGTCCTCTCGCGCGAGATGGCAATTTCTATTGCAATTTTCAGTACACACACCGGCTCCTCGATCCTTCCCCACAGTTCCGACATTTGCCACCTCGTAGGCTATCGATTCCTCGGTCCACGATCACGTATATTCACTGTACGCGTGGCGTGCACCGATCCTGGCCGGCTGGTCGATCGGTTTTCCGTTTGAAATCGAACGAACGCCGGTCGTTCCGATCCTTTCTGATCCCAGCCTCGCGGCGCATGAATTTCGCAACGGAGAAACGCGATCGGTGCTCGCACACCGCGGCTGCTGGCAGAAAACTAGGGTATGGGAACTCGCGAGAGCGAGGTCCTCGGGAGGATTTAATCGCAGGTGATCCGCGATCGCGCGATACGCGTGCACGTTCACGCACCTACACCGATTCCCGGTGTTTACTTATTCGCAGACCGAACGCGTGAGAACACAACCGGCGGGAAATAATCGTCGGACTTATCAGAAATTAATTGCCGTGTTATTTTCACGGCTGAAGATGTTCTCGGCGTAGCAGGATGTCCGGATTAAGTGTTACAGAGAAACCTAGGCGTGTATTGTTCTGCGTATCCCTTAAATATGATCGGCTGTTGCCGCGATTCCACGGTTTTAGCGCGAAAGATGACGAATAAAAATTCCGGGTAGCTGTTTATTTGATTAACGGGGGATATACCGGGATGTACATTCCGAGGAAATGGGTGGCTTTGGAACTATTTGCGGTTTGAATAGGCGAATAGAAATTTTTTAGAGCTCCGCTGCAGCGAGATAACGCGTGAAAGAAGTTACACAACAATTCTCAGTCCGTAAAATTTATGCTTCGAATTAGTATGATGATCTGATTGTAGATCCTCTGCTCGAAAATTGCAAAGTGTCGCGAAAATGTAATAATTATTATAATAGAGTAGGATTTTTGTAATCCTTCGTTATTCAACGACAAAGCCTTCCAATTACCACGCGAGTCTGTCGTTAAATTTAAATTA